ATGTCTCTCTCCCCCCCCCCCACTTTCTCTGAAAGCAATGGGAAAAATTTTTTTTTTAAATGGAAATACTCTTTTTCTGTATATTGCTTTTTCACCATGGGAGAACAAACAGGCTTGTTTAAGGAATATTTTATCCTTGCCGATCATCCTTACCCATTATAAGCAGCCTTCACAGCAGATTTCCACATTTACAAGCAAGTTGAAACCCACCCTTGAGCTGTGGGTTCTTTACCAAGGAAGCAAAACGAGGCAGCACGCACCTGCGCAGGCCCAGTGGCTCCGGCAGCTCTGCCGCACTCTCCTGCCCCAGCCCTGGCCCAGGCTGTGTGGAAACAAAGGGCGATTACAGCATTGTTTCAGTGGTTGATGTGTTTTAAAGTTCTGGTCTCCCAGGCACAATATTTTTCCTCCATTAACTTGGTTTTACAATTAGTTTATTGGGCTCTGAGCCAATGTTAAATAATAAGTTTTATATAATACAATATTATCTAAATCTTTTAGGAACAAAAGAAATACGAGACTGAAGAAGATGCGAATAAAGCCACCTGGCAAAAAACAGTTAAAAACAACCAGCAAAGGTGGGATTGCATGCATCGTGAGTCACGTCTTCTAGGGATCTGTTAGATTTCACGTGTACTTTCAGTTTTAAACGGTCACATTTTGATACACATGTAATATGGACAATCTTGTTTGTTTAGTCTCTTTCAGCGTCTTGACTCAAAATCAAAGGATATATCTAAAATAGCAGCAGATATCACCCAGGCAGTGTCTCTCTCCCAAGGAATTGAGAGGAAAAAGGTGATCCAGCACATCAGAGGGATGTACAAAGTTGACCTGAGCGCCAGCCGACACTGGCAGGAGCTTAGTCAACAGCTGACCCATGATAGGTAAGCGGAAGGGAGGGCGTTCAGGTCGTCTTGCATAAATATTTGCATGTCCACGCTAAATGCTAGTTTCATCCCACAACAAAGACTCATAACATTATTTCATTCATTTAAATTTTTTTAATCATTTGTTATTTATTTCATCTTGAAGAATAATCCTATGAGGGTATTTATTTTTCAATCTTGGGGGGAATAAAAGTAGAGAAAGGCATTAGCTCTTCCAGACAGTAAAATCTATACGTATTGGCTTTAATTTAAAGTATGATCTTCCTGCCCTGACCAGGTGACTCAGGTGGTTGGAGTGTCGGTCGTTCCACAGACCAAAGGTGTGGGGTTGGTTCCTGGTCAGTGTGCATACCCAGGTCGTGTCTTCCAGTCTCAGTTGGGCAAGCACAGGAAGCAACCAATTGATGTTTCCCTCTCTTTCTCCCTTCCTCTCTCTCTAAAATCAATAAAAACATATCCTCGGGTGAGGATTAAAAATAATATTAAAATAAAATATCTCTGCAAAAGAATAGAGAAATCACTGAATAAGGAGAGTTGGGAAGCAGATTTTTTTCTAACTAAGGATTTAATAATATAATTTAAAAGAAGCTTCACAAACAGTGAAGAGGGAAATGAAAGTATAATTCTGTAAATTTGGTAACTTATTAGATTATTTTAAGTTTATTTTTCAGTTACAGTTGACATTCAGTATTATATTAGTTTCAGGTGTACAACATAGTGATTAGATATTTACATAACCTACAAAGTGATCCCTGCGTAAGTCTCGTACCCACCTGGCACCACTCGTAGTTACTGCGGTATCATTGACTGTGTTCCCTGTGCTGAGCTTACATCCCCGTGAGTGTTCTGTAACTGCCGTATTTCTTAATCCCTTTCATCTTTTTGGCTCACCCCCCCCATCTGGCAACTATCAGTTCTCTATATTTATGAGTTTCTCTTTTGTTTTTTAGATTCCACATATAAGTGAAATTATACAGTATTCGTCTTTGTCTGACTTCTTTCACTTAGCATAATACCTCTAGGTTCATCCATGTTGCAAATGGCAATATTTCATCTTCTCTTATGGCTGAGTAATATTCTATTGTATATATGTACCACATCTTCTTTATTCATTTGTCTATCGATGGACACATCGGTGGCTATTGTATATAATGCTGCAATGAATATATGGGTTCATCTCTCTTTTCGAGTTAGTGTATTGGATTCTTCAGATAAATCCCCAGATGTGGCATTGCTGGGTCATAAGGTAGTTCTGTTTTTAATTTTTTGAGGAACCTCCATACTATTTTCCATAGTAGCTGTACCAACTTACAATCCCACCAACAGTGCACGGAGGTTCCCTTCTCTCCTCTTCCTGAAAATACTTGGTGTTTGTTGGTTTATTGATGATAGACATTCTGACAGGTGTGAGGCTATATCTCACTTTGGTTTTGATTTGCCTCTCCCTGGTGATTAGTGATGTTGAGCATCTTTCCATGTGTCGACCATAAGATAAATGATTAGCATGTCTTTGGGGTGCTAAGACATACTAAGTGTTATACTCTAAAGCAGGGGGGGGGAACCTTTTTTCTGCCAAGGACCATTTGGATATTTATAACATCATTCACAGGCCATACAAAATTATCAACTTAAAAATTAGCTATGGGGCCCGGCCGGGAGTGTCTCAGCGGTTTAGAGTCGACCTAGGATCCAGGCAATCAAGATTCGATTCCCAGTCAGGGCACATGCCTGGGTTGCAGGCTAGGCAGCCGATCAATGACTTTCTCATCATTGATGTTTCTATCTCTCTCTCCCTCTCCTTTCCTCTCTCTGAAATCAATAAAGATATATTTTTTTTTAAAATTAGCTATGGGAAAAGTTCCTAGATTTATTGAATTTTGAGTCCTGCCTACGGTTGCCTTGGCAGGCCAGACCAAATTATTTCTCAGGCCATATACCGTCCACAGGCCAGACGTTCCCCAACCCTGCTTTAAAGCAAATTCCAGGTGAATGAAAGAAAGTAGAAGAAAATATATAAGGTAGGAGAAAAGAGGGTATTTATCAACTCTTTGATGGACAGATAACTTTTTAAGATCAAATATATTAGAAGAAACTACAAAGAAAAAATGAATGGATTTGAACTTTGTTTCCAGTGTAATTGGCAACTATGACAACAACAACAAAACGTGAACACTTATTTTCAGCAAATGTATCAGTTAATATTTTTATCATTTTAAAAATTCATAATGATTTGAAAGTAAAATATTAAGATCCCAAAAGTTTGAATGAGCGAAAGAGATGAATGTACTCTTCCCATGAGACAAACAGAGTTAATAAGCAGATGGTAAGAGATTCAGTATTGCTAGAGGCTAACTTGGTTTTATAAAACCTTTAGATACCATATTTTACCTTCTATGTTACAAAAAAGAATTTTAGGTGCTACTCTCCATGAAATGTGTCTTAGTCCTTGGTCAGATGGTTGGTGATTTTTATACACTTTGACATGATATGTCAGGACCCACAAACGTTATTTCTAGCTCCGATTAGCCTGTTTAGGGATTCTGTCCTAAGGGAAATATTCAGAATATGGAAAGGCAATAAACATAGAGTGTTTGTCTTTTGCATTATTTATACTAGTGAATGAATTGGAAACAATTATATAATAATAATAATAATAATAATAATAATAATAGAGTTAAATAACATTATTATGCATCTACTCAATGCAGTATTAGTCAGCCGTTTAAACTGATGATAGTTAAAATTATAATGTATTCAGTGAAAGAAGGCAGGATATAGAACTTTGTGTACATAATAAGTATAACTGTGATTTTTAAAATGAAAGAAAATTACCACTGCCAGTATTTTGGTATGTTTAGGGTAGTAGAATTAAGGGTAATTTTTTTTCTCTTATTTCTAAAAATGTATTTAATATGATCCTACTATTTTCTTTCATTTAAAATACTAATTTATTTTAAGATCTTTTAAGAAATGTGATTTATACTATAAGAATGAACTAATTTTGTTTGTTACATTAGATAGTAGGCAAAATGGGATATGTAAAAAATTAATTTGGAAAATGGATTTTTCTCTTTAGTTAACCACGTTAAGCCCCTGTGTTGCTAAAGCACTCAGAGTGGTCGTCCACGTCCTTTAAAGATTTTAACAGGTGCAGGAAGCTGGTCCTGCTTGCAGGTGGGACCTGGGAGACGACGAGACTTTTTTTTCATGTTGTTCTTGGGTACAGTGCATCTGTATTCCTAACCTAATTGTATAAATAGTTAGGGGTTCTCCTTTTTCTTTTTTAACTGAATAGTTCAGTTTTGTATTTATTCAATTATATAGTGAGTTTGTAAAGCTACAGGCACTTCAGATTGCCACTTACAACACTGTTTTCTCTTGACTTGCAGAGCAGTCTGGTATGACCCCATGTACTACCCAACTTCCTGGCAGCTGGACCCAACAGAAGGGCCCAATCGAGAGAGGAGGCGTTTACAGAGATGTTACTTAACTATTCCAAACAAGTACCTCCTTAGGGATAGACAGAAACCAGAAGGTAGTAGTGGCTTCTTGACTCGACATATTATAGAGCAGATAACGGCGGTCATTCGGTAAAGATAACATGTGCTCTCTCCTCAGCAGATGTGGTTAGACCACCACTCTCTTACCTCTTTGAAGACAAAACTCACTCTTCTTTCTCCTCTACTGTAAAAGACAAAGCTGCAAGTGAGTCGATAAGGTAACTTTGAATCCATAAGATGTTTACTCTTTTGTTGAAGGAATTAAAGGTTTTTAGTGTGTTGTGGTACTTTACTATTTATTTTAGTGCTGTGGTTTTAGGAAAGGTCTTAAACGTGGCTCAAGAGAGGACAAGGCTGAATGGCCAGAATCCAGAATGAAAAGACTCCTTCATAGGAAGGAGTCCTTGGACTGCGATCACAGTGCTCTTGCCCTTGTTTGCACAGATGTCTCTGTATTTAAGGGTCCTAGCAACTCTGAACTAGACAGCACTGCTGCGGCATCACCAGACAATACGTGCAGCAATAAAGGTTCAAATTCTGGGCCCGCTCTTACTGGCTTTCTCATCTTTGTAAGTCACTTACCTCTGTGTCAGGTTCCTTGTCTGTTGTTACACGAGGAAGATGGCCACACCCAGCGTGTCTTAGCATTACTGAGTAGTAAGTGGGTCAGTTTATCATGCCCATTTTATAGGTGAAAAACTGAGACTCAAAGAGCATAAGCGACTTAACTAAAGGATAGAGGAACTTTTCTGACTCTAAATCCCGTTTTTCCTAGAAACTAGGCTTCTTGTATGTGTCTGGAAAATATAAAATATTTTTATCGCTTCAATAACTGAATCCTGTATTCTGCATACAGGGCATAGGGGTTATTAGCCATTTCTAAAAGTTCGTCATTTTGTTCCTCTACAAGAATGTTAAAGAATGAGAGAATATTTTTATGTGGGCTTTGACAAGATATCTTGTGCCTACAACTTCTCTGCTTTGCTGAAATATTTTACTAGATAAAATAAAGCTTATACTTTCTGAAATTGGTCAAAACATTTCCTCCTAGTAATTTTAAGTATATTTTGACAGAGTGAACCGCAGATGCATCAGCGTCGCCCCGTCTAGAGAGACGGCTGGTGAGTTGTTATTAGGTGAGTCTCACCTAGGAGAGCTCTGTTCATGTTCGCCTGCCGTGTTTCCTCCTGGGTTGTCTGAAGCATTGTTTTGACATACTGCCCTTGAAGGAGATGAGTTTTCTCTGGAATGACATTGGTGGTTTTGCCTTAACGTTGTGTATAGTGCATGGACACAAGGGTGTGAGGAATGACAGTTTTACCTCTGAAAAGCATATGAATAGCATTTTAATTTTTATAACATTGACTTTCTTTTCATGAGCATACATTTTTATATTTAATCATTCCATTTATTATATGTCAATTTTGATTTTAAAGTGAAGAATTAGTGGTATAATGATATGCCTACTGTTTTAACAGATATCCCTATGCATAAGCAGTATGTCCACCTTGAGATTTATAATTTATATTCTCTATTGTACTTCTGAGAGAAAGGAAGATTGTCAGTGCATGGATACCCATGTAGTTACATTAGGTGAGAAAGATTTTCCTCAAGATGTGAAGGAATGAAGTTACACCAATTGGTCTCTGTTCCCTCGTATGCTGTAGGCCAGTTATCCTCAAAGCATGGTCCTCAAATCAGGAGCATCATCGTCACATGGGACTTCTTGGAAATGCACTTTCTTGGGCCCCAGCCCTGACCAGTTAATCTGAAACGCTGGGGTGGGTCCCTGCCATCTGCATTTCGATGAGCCTTCAGATGTGAGAGTCACTGCTGTAGGCTAAAGCCACTTCCCCCGGACCCAAAGCAGACTGCACTCTGAGCTTGCGGGAGACCAAGCCCCACAGTCACAGCATGGAGACAGTGCCCTCCTCTGAACCAGTCGTGCCAGTGCTCAGAGGCGACCAGCACACGGTGCAGAGCCCAGGCGGGTCCTACCTTTGGGGTACATGACGTAGGGACATGTGTTAACAACAGCCTACGAAGCAGAAAAAATTGAGGGGTGATCTTTTCAGATATTTCTGCCTTACTGAGTGTTTAAGTCAGCAAAATAATTAAGAATTCCTCTTCTGATAGAAAATTTGGCTTACAACTTGACTTCAGGTGATGTGTGACAAAATAATATGCTGGTAATATGAGTATTGGCACCGTTAATAAGCAGTTTACATAGGATCTAATTCCCAGTCACCTGGTGAAATAGTGTCTTCTCCCTTCCTCCATCTTTCTAGAAGGAAACTAAGACACAAAGAAGTTGAGCAACCTGGCCCAGATCTCACAGATGTTGTTCACAGCTAGGTGTTGAGTGTCAGGAACTGTTTCATGGCAAATTCAAGCCATGACTCAGGTCATGCTTTTAACCATATAAGGTAAAGGTGCACATGCATCTTAAACTCATACAGTTATGTTTTGCAGGGAAATGCGGGATGTATTTTGTGGAAGATAATGCTTCTGATGCAGTTGAAAGCTCGGTGAGTAGAAGCTTAAATTTGCACTAATTAAATTCACACAAATTCCCAAAATGTATAAATTCAGTATCACCAAAGGCAGGTAGAGCTAATAGAGCTCATTTATTGTGACTTTATGTGTAGATTTGTCTGAAGTTCAAACACTTTTTAAAAGACAGTTCTGAAAAGGACCATCTCTGCTGGCTCCTGGTCCAAGTTCCTGCAGTGAGTTTCCAGGTCAAGTTCTAGTCACTCCTATCACCTCAGTGTTGTCCGTTGTCCCTCATCACCGTCCTCAGTAAACAGAGAACCACTCCTGCCACACCCAGTCCCCTGTGCAGGGTACTTGCCTTCAAAAGAAAGGAAAATGTTGCATAATTGAATAACAAGTTATCCTGATAGTCACATAGATTAGTAATCATAATAATTCCAATTCTTCTGTAAATACTGATACTCGGAAAATAACAAAAAGACTCTTAATTCACATTTTTGTATAGTAAGCTTTTTATTCATTTGAATTAGCTTGTATGTCATTAAAATACTGTTTTGAAATCCTTGAAATAGGAGAAATAAGACTTTGTTTCTGAGAAGTTCTAAAGCCAGAAATCCCCAAGGCTGTATTAAATGAGATTATGTGTGGTTTAATGTTAGATGCATATTCTTTTATTGATTGCTTTTAGAGAGGGAGGGAGGGAAAGGGAGAAACGTGGATTTTTTGGTTCCATTTATTTATGCATTCCTTGGTTGCTTCTTGTATGTGCCCTGACCAGGGATCAAACCCACAGCCTTGGTGTATTGGAGCAATGCTCTAATCAACTGAGCTTCCTGGCCAGGGCCATTGAATACATATTTGATTCAAAGAAATTAATAAATGAGAATATGAAATTTAGTTGTAAAACTAATGTAAAAATTCATAAGAATATTGAATATAGCCCCCCAAAAAAGAGCAGGTATTCCTTCATGATTTAAAGCAGTTACCACAGCACTTATACCAGTTAGTAAAAATATAGTTATGCTCTTTGTCAAGAAGTATCTTTTTAATAAGGAATTTAATAGTTGATATATAGCCAACATTTTTTGGATCCAAAAATAACATTTTCCTCCTTTAAAATTCTTCTAAGAATACCCTGTTTTTAATAGATTGAAGGCTCCTTCCTTCCTTTGTGCTTTTGTAACATTGGTTCTTACTTATGTGACACTTGCTATCTCGCGTGTTAGATGTGTGTCCAAATAACTGCCCTTTTATCTCACATGACTTATTTCATGCAGAGTGCTCAGTGACTGTTGAATTGTCTGTATGTTGAATGTTGGAGCTAAACAGGAAGAATTCAGTTTTAAGTATGAGAATATTACATTTTTACCAAAACATTTTATTGTATGTGTAATGTATTTCCTGGCTCTACTTTAAAGATTTAGTAGGGAGCCAGTACAATAGTGAAACATACAGAGAGCAACCAAAGCACTGCTTCCTCTTTACTGCTGCTTTTCAAATTCTTTTTACTGTGATGCCCAGAGACCTGTTTTCCACCTTTCTTGCAAGCTCACATGTACATTTAAAAGGGTATTTTCTAAGCAGAAGAAATCATTCCGAACAGGCTACATACTGTGATTCCAACTCTATGACTTTCTGGAAAAGGGAAAACTGTGGAACCACAGGTCAGAGGAGGAGGGAGAAAGGTGGAGCACGGAGGATCTTTAGGGCAGTGAAAATACTCTGTGGTACTGTAATGGTGGGTACATGTCATTATGCATTTGTCCAAACCCCTAAAATGTACACCACCAAGACTGAACCCTAATGTAAACTGTTGCTTCAGTTAGGGATACTGTATCAATGTTGGCACTGTTTGTAACGAGGCACCACATTAGCAGAAGATGCTGGTAACAGGGAAACTGAGTGGGGAGAGGAGATACATGGGAACTCTTGCTATCTTCTCAGTTTTCTTAAAACTGCTGAAAAATAAAGTCTATTAAAGAATAAAAATAAAGTCTATTAACTAAAAACACTCCTAAGTTTTATTCAACAGCATTTTGAAGTGTATGGTAGTGGGAGGATTTTCAGAGATTATCATCTGTGTTTTTTGCCACAAAAGAAAGACTTTCTGTTGCATTTTGATATTTTTTAAAAATCAAAAATGAAAATGATTATTAATATTTCATATGAAGCAACTACTTTCATCTATTTCCTTTGTCCCAGAGCCTCCAGGGAGAATTGGAACCAGCATCATTTTCCTGGACGTACGAAGAAATCAAAGAAGTTCACAAGCGCTGGTGGCAGTTGAGAGACAACGCTGTGGAAATCTTCTTAACCAATGGCAGGACACTGCTGTTAGCATTTGATAACACCAAGGTAAGTTTGTCTTTAGTAACAGGTATGCATTTTGAAGTTCATGGCACCATGTAACTCTACTCATACTGCTTGAATGAAGGTTTAACTGATTTAAACTTCCATTCACTGTTTCTGAAATCAAATAAAAATTGCCTACTTCTCAGCCCTAATTAAAGTAAACCCTTGGTTATATTAGGATTAATTTTTGCCCTCCAAAACTATCAAATTCTTATTCCCAGAAGGAACTGTATTTGTAAAAAGTGAACAACTGAATCAGTGAATGAATGACCAACCTGAAAGGAGCAGTTTAAACACGATAATAGATTCCACTTTTGACAAACCCTCTCTGGGCACCCACATCCCATCAGCTGCTATCTGCATGCTCCCCTTTATGGAAATCCTCTAGGAGGAAGCTGTGTGCTTGCCGCCTCCAGGTCCTCCCCGCATATTTCCTTCTTCCAGCCCACTTCGAGCCCTGGGCAGCTCCCAGTGCCCTCGTGTTGCTGGCCCTGTGCCCATGTTCCGTGGTCCTCAGTTCACTGGACCCATCATCAGCATTTGACAGTTTCTTTTCCTAAAAAGAAGCTCCTTCCTCCCTGGCCCTGGGTTGCCACTGTCTTCTCTCTCCTTTTACTTCACCAGCCATGCCCACCCAGTCTTGCCCACAGATGCTGCCCCTGGACACCTCTGGGTACGTTCTGCAGGCCTCTTCTCATCTTTTCTCATCCAGTCTTGTGACTTTGAATACTATCTGTAGTCCAGCAGTTTACAAGTTATACCTCTACCCAAACCTCTCCTCTGAACCCCACACTCAAATATCTAGCTTCCTACTGGCATCTCCACTTGGAAGGCTAATTGGTATCTCAGATTTAACATGTACAGATGTGAACCTCTAATCTCCCCCACAAATCTCTGCTGCTTTCCTCATCTCAATAAATGGCAACTCCAGTCCTTCTGGTCACCAAACCTTGGGGTTACCCCAGACTCCTCCTGTTCCTTGTCCCCACAGCTACTCCATCAGCAAGTTTTCAAAATACACCCAGAGTCTGACCACTTCTGCTGCAGCCGTCCTGGTCCAGGCCCCCTTCATCTCTTGCCTAAACCATCACACTAGCCTCCTCACCTGCCTCCCTGCTTCCATAGTCCCCCTTCTTTCAGACCATTCTCAACACACACCTGAGATAGGTCGGGTCATACCATTCCTCTGCTCAGGCTCTTTAATCACTTCGTGTCATTTGGTTAAAGCCAAAGTCCTTCCAGAGACTAACAGTGTTGAATAACGTGGCACCTCACTAACTCTCTGACCTTACTTTCTCCCATTCTGTCTCTCACTGTCTCTTCTCTATCCATGGTGACTGTCTCTTCCTTGAACATAGCAGGGCCTTTGCACTTACTCCCCCTACAGTGCTGCCTGGAATGCTTTTACCCTTAGAATCCACAGGGCTCACTCCCTTATTTTTTTCTGGCTCCTTGATCAAATGTCTCCTTCTAAGAGAGACCTTTCCTGACTACTCTAAGTAAAATAGCAACTCCTGTCTCACTCCTGCCTCCAGCCTCCTTAGCTTCTTTACTTTGCTCTTCCTCTCTCTATAGGACTTAATAGCGTGCAACATTGTCTCCCCAATAGTACTAAGGACTTTGTTTGGCTCAGTGCTACAAGCTTCAGCACCTTGAACATACAGGTGTATAAGGGCTCAGTGAACTTTTGTCGAAAGAATGAATGCCTCCTTTTCTTGCAGAGTTTGGTGTGCAGACTGTCATAAATTCCCACCATCAACCTTAGCTTCAGCAGTGGGCAACCTTCAGATTCAGACTACATGTTTAAGTTCTGCTTTTGCTTTTGTTTTCAGGTTTGCTTGTGTGTTTTTTGCCTTGAACCTATTCTTTTTTCCCCCCTTAATTGTGGTAAAAAATACATAACATGAAATTTACAATCCTAGCCATTTTTAAACCTACAGTTTAGTGTTAAATTCACATTTTTTGTGAAGCAGATCTCCGGGCCAGGTTCTTAAACACTGTAACCTTGCCTGTTCCATCACTTTAGCTCATTCTTCTTGTAGAACGATCTCTGCATGACCTCGTCTGTGCCCCTTCTTCCTAAGCGTGGAGCACACACGCATTTAACATGGGTATTTCATATTTGTCTTTAGCAGATTTATTAATTTTCCCATTTGTTCATCATCGTGTAATTGCTTTAGGAGAAACCAGAATACCATTTTCCTGTGACAGTACTTTTGTGAACTTCTAAGTTTTAAAATTTATATATTAGTTTTCAATCAGTAGTGAAGACCAAAGATTCTCTTTTGCATAGGGTATCTTATTTCACTCTCATGACTAAATGTTTTCACCCCTTACTACAGAGATGGTAGCTGCAGCACTGAGGGTGTGAGCAGGAAAACAGTCCAGGTCTGTCTAATTCAGAAAACCATGCTCTTTCTGCTCTATCACGTAGCTTTTCTTTAGATGAAGACTCTTCTTTTTCCTTCACTGAACTTTCTTCTCTTGGGATCTGTATGTGAGTGATGTTCCTATATAGACTTTTTCTCAGTTTCTTACTAACAGATTCTGCAGAAGCTCAGCACAGAGGTTAGGGGCCCAAGCTTTGGAGGAAGACCTGCATTTGCCTCACTTCTCTACCGGTTCATGTTATTGGGCAAAAAGTATTTTCTTGGAGGACGAGATTAATAACATGCCTATAATATCATGGATTCTCTGGAGGAAAGTGTCAATAAGCCTTCAGGTGAAATCTGCTTGTTTTCTTTCTCCTGCCCGTACAGGTTCGCGATGACGTGTACCTCAGTATACTGAACAATGACCTCCCTAACCTCCTGGAATACGGCAACATTACCGCTCTGACAAACTTATGGTACACTGGGCAGATTACTAATTTTGAATATCTGACGCACTTAAACAAACATGCCGGCCGATCCTTCAATGATCTCATGCAGTATCCAGTGTTCCCGTTCATACTGGCTGACTACGTTAGTGAGACCCTCGACCTCGGTGATCCTTCCATCTACAGGTAAGAGAAACATCATCACCTGTCGGCTTTGTCAATATGCTGAATTTACTTCCTTAAAGTTTTTAACATGGGAATTTTCAAACATGCACAAAATTGAGTGAAAATGGAATGAGCCGCCACATGTACATCACCCCAACTCAGTTACGAAGACGTTTGCCAGACTCGTTCCTCTTTTTTTCTTTTTATTTAAGGCAGACGACAGACGTCTTGTTACGTCACTCCTGTGTTCTGCACTAGAATCTTCTAGGGAAAAGATGGAATATTCCCTTCCTTAACCCCAGTGCCATTAGCACATCTTAGAAAATTAACAATAATTTCATGATATCATCTAATATCTAGTCCATTTTCAGATGTCCCCTGACGGCATCAGAGATGTCTTTTTATGGTTGATTTGCTTGAATCAGGCCCTTGGTCATCTTTGATTGCAATGTTTCTACAGACAAACATCTAGAACAGCCTTCCTAACAGTGACTTGTTGGAAAAAACAGGACATTTATCTTGTAGGATGTCCCTCATTTCTGTTAGTATTTGGCTTTCCTCTCTAGCTTCTATATTTCCTAGAGACTGGAAATTCATTCTGAAGACTTGCTTAGATTGAGGTTCAGGTGCTTTTTTTTTTGGCAAGAATTCCTCATGGGTGGTGATGTGGACTCCATACTACCTTGTATCAGAAGGCATGGAGCCTCCCACTCTAAGGATGCTCAGGGTGATGTGTAGGCTCAGGCTCCTACTGAGTTGTTTCTCTCATTGGTGATTATTGCTTGAGTCAGCTTTTTCACTAGAGGTTATAAAGTGGTGATTTCCTGTTCTCTCATTTCTTCTGCCTTTATTAGAGGAAAACATACAGAGTAAGCCTGAGTATTTTGCTGTGTCAGCAAGGAAACTAATATAGTCTCATCAAAAGCCGTATGTTCATTGCGCCTTACAGCAGCCAAGAGGAGGAGGCAGCCCGGTCTGCCTGTGGGTGAACGGTGGGGAAAACATAGCGTACACATACAATGGAATATCATTTGACCTTAAGAAAGAGGGAAGGTCTGTCACATGCTACAGCATAAATGAACCTTGGGGACATTGTGCTAAGCAGAATAAGCCAACCACAGAGAATCAAATACTGCGCGATTCACTTCCATGAGTCGTCTAAGGTAGACTCCTAGAGGCAGAGAGTGGAGGAGAGGTTGCTGGGAGATGGGATGGGAGAGAGGGAAGTTGAAGTTTAGTAGGTGTGGAGTTTCAGTTTGCAAGATGGAAAACTTCTCAAGATCTGCTATACAGCAATGTGAACGTAAATTATCACTACTGAGCTATGTATGGCAGTTAGGATGGTAAATTGTGTGTTGTGTGTTTTTTACTACAATTAAAAAAAAAAAAATACAGGACTCAGGAGTCAACTAGAAGTGGCTCTCACTACCAAAGATAGAAAAATCTGATCATCAAAAAGAATAATGACTACAACTGATAGAAACACAGCTTAAATAAAAATACTTAAGTTGCCCGGCCACAATGGCTCAGAGGTGAGCATTGACCTAGGATCCAGGGGATTGTGGTTTGATTCCCTGTCAGGGCACACGCGGGCTCGATCCCCAGCAGGGGGCATGCAGGAGGCAGCCGATCAGTGACTCTCTCATCATGGATGTTTCTATCTCTTTCTCTCTCCCTTCCTCTCTCTGAAATCAATAAAGATATTAAAAAAAAAAAGAAAAGAGTCAGTCATGATGCATTTTGAAAGGCCCCCCCAAAAAAGCAAAACTAAATTCATTGGATCCTAGCCAGGTGTGGCTCAGCAGTTGAGTGTAGACCTGGGATCCAGGCANTAAAAAAAAAAAGAAAAGAGTCAGTCATGATGCATTTTGAAAGGCCCCCCAAAAAAAGCAAAACTAAATTCATTGGATCCCAGCCAGGTGTGGCTCAGCAGTTGAGTGTCGACCTGGGATCCAGGCGATCGGGGTTCGATCCCCGGTCAGGGCACATCCCTGGGTTGTGGGCTTGATCAGTGACTCTCCGGTCATTGATGTTTCTCTCTCTCTCTCTCCCTCTCCTTTCCTCTCTCTGAAATCAATAAAGATATATTTAAAAAAACACACAACAACAATAAAAACTCATTGGATGTCATTCACTGTAACTAGGGTACCAGTTTGTTGCTTTTGAATTTGGCAAGTAAAGGAAAAGATTTAAGTTTTTTTCCTGCTTTTCCTGAATGAGTTGCATTTTAGAGTAACTGAATAGCCCTAGCTGATGAGCAAATATGCTGTTTATTTAGTCTAAAAAAAATATTCTCTGGTAATTAGCAAAAAGACTCAAGAAATCACAAGTGTTGGTGAGGATATGGAGAAAAGAGCACTCGTGCACTGTCGGTGGGAATGCAAATTGATGCAACCACAATAGAAAACAATATGGAGGTTCCTCAAAAAATTAAAAATAGAACTACCACAGGATCCAGCAATTCCACTTATGGGAATTTATCCAAAGAAACTGAAAGTGTTAATTGCAGCATTATTTACAATAGCGATCTAGGCCTAGTTCAGGCAGTTTTCAAGATATGGAAACAACCTAGATGTTCATCAATGGATGAATAGATAAAAAAAATGTGGTATATCCAAACAATGCAATATCATTCAGCCATAAAAAATAAAGATGTCTTGCCATTTACGACAACATTTATGGACCTTGAGGGCATTATGCTAGGTGAAATAAGTCAGACAGAGAAAGACAAATACCATATGATCTCATTTATATGTGGAATCTAAACAAACAAACAAAAAACCTAGCTCATAGATACAGAGAACATATGAGTGGTTGCCAGAGGCAGGAGATGAGGGGTGGGTGAAGGGGGTCAAAAAGTATAAACTTCCAGCTCTAAAATAAGTAAGCCCTGGAGATGTGATGTACAGCATGGTGACTACAATTAATAACACTGTATTACATATTTGAAAGCGGCTAAAGGAGTAAATCTTAAAAGTTCTCACCACAAGAGAAAAATTCTTTATGTGTGGTGTTGGATGTTAACTAGACTTACTGTTTCACAACACTTATAAATATCAAATCATTATGTTGTACACCTGAAACTAATAGAATGTTTGTCAATTATATCTCAATTTTTAAAAATATTTGTTTTAAAGAAAAATGGACTTCAAATATTTTACTTGGTATATTAAGGTATTTTAATTATCACTGCTGAAAAGTAGGCCTAGTTCAGGTCATTTTTAAGAAATCTGATTCAGTTTAATGTATTTGTGAATTTATAAAAAGGCAAATGACATTATTTTTTAGACATTTTCATATGCTGCTTATGGGCATTTAAATTATACACTAGTATAAGTAGATGCAGTCTTTCTGGAAGGCAGTGTGATGATACAAAGAACTCTTCACATGTGCATGCTCTGTGTTAGCACTTTAACTTCCAGGACTTTTTCTTAGAAAGGACTTAAGGGTAAGGATGTGTGCTCTGCCAGAAAGGTTCCCACTGGAAGTCAGTCTCGTGAGGCAGGAAGTCAGTGCGTCTGGTCCGCATCTGGTCATGGTGTCTGGCACTGCAACCAAAGACTGAGCTGTCAGGACAGGCCTCACATCATGTTTAAAAATTTTTTTTATTGATTGATTTTTGAGAGAGAGAGCAAAGGAGACACACACACACACACAGAGAAACACAGATTTGTTGTTCCCCTTATACATTCACTGGTTGATTCTTGTATATGCCCAGACTGGGGATCGAACCTGCAGCCTTGGTGCATCGGGATGACACTCCAATGAACTGAGCTACCTGGCCAGGGCACATCATGTTTTAAAATAGCTAAATATTTAAACAACCTAAATGCCCAACACTAGGTTTGAGTAAATTGTTATATGTTGCAGCCATTTAAAATTATATCATAGAAATTTATGTCACAGGTGGGGAAAGCTATTATTTTTATTTTAAAAGTGGATATATATACACAGATCAGCAGGCAAACATTTAGAAGGGTATGTACCAGAATGTCGTACCTCTGGGTAATAGCAGTGTGGGTGATTCTTGGTTTATTCTATTTGCTTATCAGTAATTTCTGATTTTTAGCCACAACAGTATTACTTGTACTCAAAAAACCTACTTATGCTAATTAGAAAAAATTGCATGCCAGGGTCTTAAACATGACTTCTCCTGTTTTGAGATGTGAATTTGTATTTGCTCTGTAAAACTGTTTTTACTTTTTAACAAAGTTTTTAAGGTTAGAAAAGTCTCAAAAACAAAATTAGTGTATTTACTATAATTGTAAATCCTTAGGAAATAATTATCAAAAAAATAGATACATCAACATCTGGCTAAAGAGCACTGGCTTGACTTTCTGAAACGTGGGCAAATCTGATGTTGCTGTAGTTACAGTGCCAGATGTCGAAGCTGCAGGTGGCCTGTCCAGGGCCAGACCAGCTGCTTCTCAGTGTGGGAGCCACTCTTCCTCATCGGGGGCCTTCTCTTGCTCTTTCTCGTGCACGCGAGGGCTCCTCCCTGCGTTCTCGTGCCTCCTGACGCAGCGCGTACAGCAGCAGACACGTCCCGAGTACACGCACAGCATTACTCGGCATCTGCGAGTTAGATAGCAAAACACTCATTTCAGTGCTCACACTCCAGGTCTCAATTTGGTCATCCTAAGCTTGTGTAGTTTCTTCAGTTTTCACTAACCTAATAATTATGTAACATCTCCTCATGATCATATTACATTCCCTGTCCCAACTGCCCTTCACGTTTCACTGCCTAACTGGGCGCAGAGTCTGGGAAACGGGGACAGGAACCCCGGGCTTGGTAGGACTCGGCTGCCGCAGGAGCATCCGTCAGGACTCTGGGGAAAGAGAACAAAGTAGGGAGAGGAGGGACAGCAGTGCTGTTCCTGTGGTGGTTACTCGCTTCAGTCAGGAACTCCTGGTATCCGAACGGGTCTGCTTAGAAAATTCTACCCTAACAGTTAGGGGATCGGAACTTTGAGTGTGACAGAGCAACATGTGGAAGCACCAAACTGAGGGCCGAGTATTCTGTTGATGACTGACTTACTTGAGGGGTGCAGACATCTGGGCAGCTTCATCCCGACCGCGTAAAACACTCTTTCCCATCCTCTCTCCTCGTAGAAATCTCTCCAAGCCCATAGCTGTGCAGTATAAAGAGAAGGAAGATCGTTACGTGGACACGTACAGGGTAGGCTTCGTTTTTCCTTATGTTTGATAAATGGAAACTGGAGTTTCGTTTTATAGAGTTGTGATTTACTTGTGTTTATAAATTTTAAATTTATAGTATCGATTTTTCTGTTTTTCACTTCCTTGTACTTTGACAAACAGCTGGAGATCATTATGTTATTTTAAATATTACTCTGTCTCAATTCTCTGAAAACATTTTGCCCAGATAAAGAAGTACACTTACAGTAGCATAAATTGGAAGCTAGTAATCCATTGTTATATTGAAATGTATAAATAACTACATTTCTTACAAAAATCACAAAGATTTCCAGGGACACGCTCACTCCTAGGGTTATTTCTGTAACAATATTAGTATATTTATGATGCACCGTAATCCTTCATTATTCAGTCAGTTATGCTTTGCTTTATTTACAGAAATTTACCAGATTTTAAAATTTAAATAAAGAACGGAATTGCCTATTTCTGTGACATTAATATGAATGAAATTCTGTTTGAAATTCAAGGAAAATCGTTAGTTGCACGATGCATTCTCCACAACAGTATCAAGATAGGAGTACTGACGCCGCTTTCTTACATTCACCACATTGTCATGTCAGAATTCCAGAAAGTCCCCTCACAGCATCTTATAACCGTCTCTCAATGATACTCTGCAGTGAGAATGGGGCAGTGCTGTGGGGACCAAGGAGAAGTCACTCCAGAAATTCACTGTCACTAGACTTTGTTATCGGAGCCAGGCAGGTGCTGTGGGAGATGAGAATAGTGACAATATTAAATATGAGTTGGGGCCTCCTACTTTGTGATGGAGATAGGAGTCACGAAAAGTCACCATATTTTTTATCTCTGTGTAACTACCATGCAAAACAGCCATAAAATGTTATAGCTAGAATTCCAATATCGAGATACAGTTTTTCCATTTCCGTTGCATTTCCCCCGCTAGGAAGTACTGCCCTAAAGAACAGCATTACCCCCTGAACCCCTGTGTCAGGAGGCAGGCGTCCCTGGTGGTGAGAGCTGCTTGATCAGCTTAGACAGCAGGAGCCCTTAGCCGGGGCTAGAGCTGGCAGGGAGGGTGCAGACTGGGAGATGCCTCCAGGTGGTCAGGCATCAGCGGGGCAGCCAGGAGAACACCCTTGGACACTCAAGGTGACTGAGGTCTGAACACTGGCTGAGGGGAGGGCAGCCATGGAGAATGGCATCACAGGTCTGGTTGGGGGAAGGACTCAAAGCCACACAGGGAGGCTTTGCCACTGTTGCCTGGAGCTCACCAGCGTGAACTTTCTGGGTTCCCTGTGTCCATCAGTACCTGGAGGAAGAGTATCGCAAAGGGGCCCGAGAGGACGACCCGCTGCCCCCCGTGCAGCCCTACCACTACGGCTCCCACTACTCCAACAGTGGCACAGTGCTGCACTTCCTGGTCAGGATGCCGCCCTTCACCAGGATGTTCCTGGCCTACCAAGGTAAGCTGGTGGCAGAACTGCCTGGACAGCCGGGTACTCATCAGAGAGAAACCTTAGCTGACTTCCTGAGAACATCTCAAGACCAGTCACGCCACAGGAAAAGAATTCTATTTATTCCTTCAACAGAATTCTCTTTAAAAAACCTGCAGAAACCAGATTGTCTTGCTAATGTCTCAAATCTTATCTTCAAATTAAACCTGTCTAAGTGTCTAAAATGAAATTCACTTTTTAAAAAATATGTTTTTATCGATTTTTTAGCGAGGGAGGAAGGGAGAAGGAGAGAGAGAGAGATGGAAACATCCGTGATGAGAGAGTCATTGGTCGGCTGCTTCCTGCACGCCCCCAACCGGGAATCGAGTCTGCAACCCGGGCATGTGCCCTAACCAGGAATCGAGCCTCGATCTCCTGGATCCTAGGTCGACGTTCAACTGCTGAGCCATGCCAGCTGGCCTGCAATTCACTTTTTAAAGATGCTCAGCTTAATATTTCAGATCACAGTTATCTTGAACCCTAAAGGGGAAAATGTTACTGTAATTCATTATAAATGGCTCCTAAATGAATAAGGAAGCCACATTGCTACCTTCGCCATAGTCGCCTTCCTCCACCTGAAGATGGTTAGATCGAGATAACTTGATTTGTATGCAAACGGACACACTCGCCTGTTGGTTTCTAGTGAGAACCGTGGTATTAGGCTGATAGTTGTTCCTTGTGGCGCCCACAGTCCTCTGTAGAATCATTATCCATTCATTTACTTCTTTATGTATTTTTACTCACATACACCCCCTCAGAGGAGTGACTCTCTCCTTGGTCTATAAAAAGACTTTCTTGTGTTTGTCCCTCTGTAAGTACACAGAACAAATGTGCCACATGACAGCTGTTCAAATATTTGAAGAGTATCGCCCTGACCCCTTTCTGCCTCTCAGTGTTGTTTGTCCCCGGGCTAATTATCCTTAGTTAATTTGACATCAGGTCTGAAGGCTCCTATTTGCAAGGTCTTATCCCAGCTGCTTCCAGGGACATGCAAATAAACAGGACTGTTCTGCACTTAGGAAAGAGTCTTCAAAGCCAAATTTAATCCCTTCCCTCTTCTCACCCAGCCCCAACCCCTCCCCTCTGACAGGTGTCAGTATGTTCTCTGGATCCATGAGAAAAAAAAAGAAAGACTTATGGACACAGACCACTGTATGGTGATTGCCAGAAGGCAGGGTGGGGCAGGGGGTAAAAGAGGGTGGGGGGGATAAATGGTGACGGAAGGAGACTGGACTTGGGGTGCTGAGCACACAGTACAATATACAGATGATGTATTATACATTGTGCACCTGAAACCAGAGTAATTTTATTAACCAATGTCACCCCAATAGATTCAATTAAAAAGATAAAATAAAGTGTACTTAAATTACAAAAAAAACCCCACAAGTTTAAGCCATCCTTTTTGGCTCTGGCTTCCAAACCTGTCACTATTTGGATCGTCTTTCTGAACATGTGTTGATTCGTGAATGCCCTTATTAAAAAGTGGCACTCAGAGGAAAAAAGAATTTTTCAGATGTCATTTGAGGCCACTCCCCTGTATAACAGAACCATTGTGCCTTCCATTTCTTTTAATGTACTATGAAACTCCCAATCAACTAAAATTTCTTAATATTTTTATATATGTTGTGGTTATGCTAGGTTTTCTTCATTATGTATTTAAAAGTGGTTTTTTAAAAAAGTCACAGGGACTACCACAATCCTCATTCTGTTTCATCTGATTGGTTTAAAATGATTTATGATGGTTTTTGAATATATTTCTAGATTTCTGGTTTACACCAGGATTTCTCACCTTGGCACTATCGTCATTTGATCTACACCATTCTTTGCTGTGGGGACTGTCCTGTGCATCCTAGGATGTTTATTTTAGCAGCATCCCTGGCCACCACCCACTGAGAACCAGAAATGTCTTCCAGACAACCCAAGTGTGCCCTGGGGGTCAAGAGTGCTACTGGCCACGAACCACTAGAATAGTACATGCGTGTTCTAGATGATAGGAATGTGTGGTCTTACTTTTTTTCAATTAAGAAACTACAGAGAATTTAGAAATCTCAGCAGATCCTGGGTGTGCTTGTCTTGTCCCAGAGATCCGGGGCGTCTGCCTCGCTGCTGTGGCTCTGCCCTAGCATCACAGAATTGCCCTTATGTTTTCTAGAATCCATTTAGATTGATAACTTTTTTCCTGAATGAGTTAGTAAATATTTCTTTAAGTGACCCTCCCTACTTTCTGAGAAAAAGGAAATCTTTGTCAACCTCATTCCTTTGCAGATTTTGTTTAGTGGCCGGCAGTAGTGACTTAACTGACCGACTAAATAAGAAAGGAGTAAAGTAACAGGAAACGTGCTCGGCAGAGCGGCTCAGGCTTGGGGAAGAAATGAGCACATCGTGTTGAAATTGGCCTTTCTTGATGCTGAGATTTGTTTGTGACAGTTTCCAAATGAAAAAATGTGCTCAAGTTTCAGCAAGTTCAGAGGAGTTCTAGGTGGAACGATGAGATTTCTAAGAAACATCTGTGTTGCTGCCTCCATGGCTGCCTTCGCTGCAGCTCATGGCCAAGGCCTGCCCTGTAGCTGGAAGGTCTGATAACTGTTGATAGAGAGACACAGGTCAAAGCTCAGTTCTTGATTATTAATGGTCTGCACCAGAAAAACCTGGCAAAGGAGTGAGTTAGAACATCTAACAGGCAGTGCCCCCTTTCTTCGCCCCCCCAAAAAGAAAGGAGAGAACGTGGCCATAACAATGGGAGGTAAGGGAATAATTTTGCCTCCAGATGGAGAAAAAGCTCTTTTATCCATTTGAACTTTGGTTTTACTTCCTTACTCATTCATTTTTTCAGGAAGCGAGCTGTTGTTGAGCACCTCATATGTACCAGGTGTGGGTGATGCCCCAGGCCCCTGCTTTCATGGGCATTTTATTCTGCTTGGGTAGACAGTCACCAATTACACAAATGCTAGAAATTCATCTAGTTTTATGTGATATGAAAACAATACAGATTTTAAATAATGTAACATGGTCTCAAATTATGTGTAGAAATATTTATTTTCAAGAATAAGTGAATAAGCTCTTTTAAACTATGGATAAACAAAATGAACATTATTCTAATCTTTTTGAAGCAACAAAAATAAATTATGACAGGCTCCAAATGGAGTCAGGTCTTTGTGTCTTCATTATTATTTCTATTTCTTTATAGATCAGAGTTTTGACATTCCAGACAGAACCTTTCATTCCATGAACACAACCTGGCGTCTCTCATCTTTTGAGTCCATGACTGATGTGAAAGAACTTATCCCAGAGTTTTTCTATCTTCCGGAGTTCTTAGTTAACCGAGAAGGTATGAGTCATTCATTTCTAGTTTATATTTTTGAGCATTTGTACTTATTTTATAATTTTCCCAAAATAAAAATATCTTTTAAGTCCGTAAATTTGAGACCACAAATAAGAGAAATACCTTTATGAAGTATATAATTCTATTTCCAAGTGAGCTTGAGGGGTTTAAGTATTTTATAGGACCAAAAATATCTGGAAACTTGTGACTTTGAACTATTAAAAGTATTTGTAAACATGTATTTTAATTTTGTTACAGAAATTGCTTTATTTTTTCTGATTACAAAGGTTATAGTATGTCATTTAAAAAGAATGAGTCATGAATTTATTGAAAACACAATGTAAATTAACCAAAATCTCAATGACTTTATGAGGAATGATTGAATTAAAAATAAAACACTCTAACCAGAAATACCTAGGAATGAAAATGAACAATAGAGGGTAAAACTGAATTTTGTGTGGTGCCAGTGACTGACAGTCTTGGCCTGTCTTAACCTGCTGTTTAACAGAAGATTGGTGACCCTTTAAGAGGTATTTTGGGTTGTTTTCTACATTACTTAATTTCATATTTTTATGAGACTGTTTGGAATAATGAAATTGAAAATTATATCTTTAGAGAAGTTAGTGTTGGGCAGATTACTGTAGAATTCCCTTCCACACTCACCGGCCTGTCTGGAGCTGTTTGAAGAATGATTAGTAAATGCCCTCTGATCCCCTGGAGTAGATCCTGGTGTTGCCCATGTGAGAAATGCCTCCGTGAAACCAGCACCCGCAGTTTGGGGTCCTGCCTGTGGCTTTCAGTTTGGGGCTCCTACACAAGTCTACTGCCTGTCCCCGCTGTCCATCGTTTCTCCTGTGTAAGTTCCAGCTTTTGTGGCTGCAGAACAAATAACCCCAGCACTTAGCAGCTCAGAACAACAGTACATTTATTATCTGTCACAGTCTTTGCAGGTCAGAAACTCAGGACAGCTCAGCCAGGTGCTATTCTGGTTTGGCTCAGGGTCTCTCATGAAATTGTATTCAGATTGGCCGGAACTCCAGCAGTCGGGAACAGAGCAGCTGGGGGAGGGCAGGCATCTCTTTCTTCATGAAGTGCCACTGATTTTCCATGTGATTCTCCACATGGACTAGTGAGAGCTTCCTCACATAGCGTCCCTTCCACAGCACTGGCTTGTTGGCGCAGTCACAATGCCTGCCCACATTCAACAGGAAGGAGCGTGGACTTGGCCACTTGTTGGACGTGTAGCAAGGTTCTGGAAAGCATGCAAGACAGCTGGGGTTGTTATCACCACTTATGGACAGTACAGTTTGTTATAATGTACATCATGTCACTCCTGCTAGCCTCTCTATTGACCTGTCACTGTGCCTCCAGTCACTCCTGGGGGAAGAGTGTCTGCCTCTGTGCTATGTCCCCAGGGCACCTGAAAATTGGGAATGATGTGAGTTTAAAGAGATGCCCTGCTGCTCAGCCCCTCCCAGCTCAGCCCTTAGATGCTCATTCACTATCCTTAAACCAATTAATCCTGCTGCGTCTCCCAGGGAACCCACATAGAGTTCTAGGTGCACAGCTGTGTCCTGAAGCACCCTGCCTACTGCTGTCTGCAGGAAGATCCCCACCTCCACCTGTTAATTTTATATACACTGTGGTTTGTATTTTACATTGTATCATTTCAAAATACTGCAAAATTAGTGAAGGTCCTCCTAACTCTTTTACAAGATCAGCAAGTAGGCAGACAGCAACTTAATTTTATGTGGAGTGCAATCTGCTTTTAAGAGGTCCTTTTTCATTTTTATTCTGTTATGGTGTTCAGATTTTCTGTCCATAAAGGGTAGCACACAAACACATTTCTGTTCAAAGGTACTATTTCTTTTAGGACAATTTTTTAAAATAATCACTTCTAAGTCTTGTTTATACCAGCAGACTGATGAGAGACAGAAGAATCTCTTACTTGATGTGTTGGGTAATTTGTTGTCCACAGGATGTTTAGTAGAAATGGAGTCAGAGCAGACCTGTAGACTTTTCATGAAGTTCACAGACCAAGATGTTCATTCTAGGAATGTGTGTGCTTTGCATCAGCTGGGTTTTTGACTACAGAATGCTGTTTACTACATATAAGTAGTCTTAAATTTATTGTTAACACCACGAATTCAGAAATGTTTATACAAGCCTTAGTGCAATTTTAATCAAGTTGGCAGTTGAATAGATACGTAAGTACTTACTGCATTGGGAGATTTGATTCGTGGATATTGGAATTAGCAGGCGATGACTTTCTGCTTTTTCTTCAGTATGACATAAAGTGATAGAAAGATAAGGTTGAAAGGCCTGCAAGTTAATAGGATGGGACTGATCGTGGGGCTTTGCTTCGAGGTGAGTGCATGGACGAGCAGTGGCGCTGCTGTCCTCTTTGCCGCTCCTTTTCCTGGCCATGATGTTCACGACTGTTTCTGTGAACTCTCAAGACCCACTCAGTGGGCCAAATAAAGCATGCTTTGGGGGAGAACACTGATGTTGGTGGTGTTTTGTAGGTTTTGATTTCGGTGTGCGTCAGAGTGGAGAACGGGTTAACCACGTCGGCCTCCCGCCCTGGGCCCGTAACGACCCTCGCCTCTTCACCCTCCTCCACCGGCAGGCCCTGGAGTCTGACCACGTGTCCCAGAGTATCTGTCACTGGATTGACTTGGTGCTCGGATATAAGCAGAAAGGGAAGGCTGCCGTCCACGCCACCAACGTTTTCCACCCTGCCGTAAGCTGCTCTTAAACTCTGCATTCACATAGTCAGGTGGAACCCTAATGTTTAAAGCTTAGCTGGTTTCTTTAAACTAAGTTTTCCGAGAGAATTGGCAGTGACACTAAACTTACCGAAGACTTTTCAGGTTGTGTATTTCCCCTCCTTAAAAACAACTAAGACACTATCTGTTGGGGTTTTCCAAGACCACCCCAGCTTGGATGAGGACTTTATGCCAGAGATGCATTCTTGAGTAGTAGTTTTAAAATAAAAATCTCTTTAGTTCATTTGGCTCAGTGCTTATTTTAAGTACCTCTAAGGTAATAGAAAATTAAACTCCTGAGAGACCTAAGGTCTGGAAGAGAGAATAAGACAAGCTTCCTGATGACTGGGGTAGAAGATAAATGCTGTGACAGAGGGTTCTGAAGTGGGATAATACTGGTTGGTTGGGGAATAGTCATTTTATAGCTAAGAGTAGTAAAAAATAAAGGCAAGGCTTCAGGCATAATTTTTGAACTTCATATTTATCTGAGATGTAATTTTAAAAGCAATTAGGAATTTTAACGTTAACTTCAGTATACTCTGTGCCTATATCCGGCCCCATCTTTTCAATTCTCATATAAATTCACATTAAAAGTACCTGCATGCTGAAACGTACCATATAATTCTCATCTGCCTAGAATTTTTTTCACTAATTCTTTGGGACTTTAGATCTTTAAAAAGGACAGTTAATGCCATTGTTCTAGGAATTTTATTCAGTTTATGGGGCAAAACAGTGTAGTGATTAAGTGCACAGTCTTGGAATTTGGAATTGACTTCAAACTCTTACCTTGTGACTCTAATACTTGCTCTGTGGCTTTGGGCAAATAGCTCCACCTCTCTGTGCCTAAATGGACACATTTGTAAAATGTGAACAGTAATACCGACCTCAAAAATGAGGAAGAAAATTCATGTAGGATAATGTCTGCCATACAGTTAACTACAAATATATGTTAACTTTTTATTTTTTTAAATTTATCTTTATTGTTGAAAGTATTACAGATCTCCCCCTTTTTTCCTCATTAACCCCCTCCACCCCTCATCTGCCCCCCGTAGGCCATCACCACACTATTGCCTGTGTCCATGGGTTATGCATATATGCATTTAAGTTCTTTGATTAATCTCTCCCCGCCCACTCCCCACCCCCACCTTCCCACTGAGGTCCCTCAGTCTGTTCCATGTTTCTGTGTCTCTGGATCTATTTTGTTCCTCAGTCTATTTTATTTATTAGATTCCACATATGGGTGAGATCATGTAAAACTGAATCAGGAAGAATCAGAAAACCTGGATAGGCCAATAACAACTGATGAATTAGAAGCAGCAATAAAAAACTCCCAGCAAACAAGAGCCCTGGTCTGGACAGCTTCACAGGGGAACTTTCTAATTCTTTATGTTGTAGAGTTAGGTAGTTTACTAAAAATTTTTCTTGCTGTTTGAAGTAAACCTGCAGTGCTATGAACTTCCCTCTTAGAACTGCTTTCGCTGTGTCCCATAGATTTTGGGTTGTTGTGTGTTCATTTTTATTTGTTTCCAAGAAGTTTCTGATTTCTTTCTTCATCTATTGGTAACCCACTCATTGTTTAATAACATGCTATTTAGCCTCCATGTGTTTGAATGTTTTTGAGTGTTTACTGTAGTTGATTTCTAATTTCATGCCCTTGTGATCTGAGGTGCTTGATGTGATTTCAATCTTCTTGAACTTGTAGAGACTTGTTTTGTGTCCTAACATGTGGTCTGTCTTTGAGAATGACCCATGTGCACTTGAGAGGAATGTATATTCTGCAGCTTTGGGGTGAAATGTTCAGTAAATATCAATTAAATCCATCTGATCTAGCGTGCCATTTAGAGTCACTGTTTCTGTGTTGACTTTTTGTCTAGAAGATCTATCCAGTGAAGTCAGTGGGGTGTTAAAGTCCACAACTATAGTTGTATTGCTGTTGATCTCCCCCTTAAAGCCCTTAAGGTTATTACTGATAGGTCATTATTTATGACCATCTTAATTTTTTATGCCTGTGTTTCTCTCTCTATTTCTTATTATTATTACAGCAGTCTCTTTAACATTTCTTGTATTGCTTCTATTTCTACTTCTAATTACAGCAGTCCTTTTAACATTTCCTGCAATGCTAGTTTCGTGGTGATAAACTTCTTTAGCCTTTTTTTGTCTGGGAAGCTTGCTATTTCACCATCTGTTTTGAGTGATAACTTTGCTGGATAGAGTATTCTTGGTTTCAGATCCTTGCTTTGCATTACCTTGAATACTTCATGCCATTCCCTTCTGGCCTGTAGAGTTTCTGATGAGAAGTCAGCTGACAGCCTTATGAGAGCTCCTTTGTAGGTAACAGATTGCTTTTCTCTTGCTGCCTTTAAGATTCTCTCTTTGTCTTGAATTTTTGGCATTTTAATTATGATATGTCTGGGCATGGGCCTCTTTGGATTCTTCTTTTGGACCTCCTGAATTTGTGTGACTTTTTCCTTTACCAGGTTAGGAAGTTTTCTGCCATTATTTCTTCAAACAGGTTCTCTAACCCATGCTTACTTTCAGCCTCCTCTGGTGCTCCTATGATGCAAATATTGTTACGTTTCATGTTGAACCACAGCTCCCTTAGACTGTCCTCCTGTTTTTTAATTGTTTTTTCTTTTTGGATCTCTGATTTAGTGATTTTTTTTCCTACCCTGTCTTCTAATTCACTGATCCGATCATCAACTTCCTCTAATCTGCTGTTTATTCCTTCCAATGTATTCTTTATTTCTGCTATGTCATTCTTAATTTCTGACTGGTCATTTTTCAGAGTTTCCGTATCTTTTTTCATGCTGTTGAGCATACTTACAATCAGTATTCTGAACTCTATATCTGATAGGTTGCTTATCTCCATTTCATTTAGCTCTTCTACTGGAGACTTCTCTTGTTTTTTCATTTGGGGCTTGTTTTTTGTCTCCCCGTTTTAGCTACCTATTTTGGATAGTTAGGTAGGTCTGCTAGGACTCTCAGTCTTTTTGGAAAGTCTCTGGTACAGGCCAATGTCAGACGCTGTTTGTGACTGGACTTGAGTACACTGTTTGGAGCTGTCAACAACCCATGGTTTGAGGTCCCCTCTTTTGGGGTGGGTGCATTTGGACAGGACCAAGATGTACACCAAAGTTTGCTTTTCCAAGGCCCGGTTCCAGAAGCAGATCAGGCAAAGACTCAAAGCATTCTGAGGTGTGCCTCTACCTGCAGGCTGGTTAATCTGATTCTTTTAATGAGCCTCAGGCTGTAGAAGCTCCAAGGGGTAGGGTGAGAGGTTTTCCAGCAGGGTGGGCCAATTGCTTCCCCCTCAGGCAAAAACTGCTTGGAAGGTAAATGTCTGCCTGTGAAAGATGCCCTCTGCTGTATGGGGGAATGGCTTGGCACAGGAATCCAGAGGGGTGCCCTCTGAGCTCTATCTCCAGAGTACACAACCTTAGATTCTCCTCACACAGCTCTAGTCCACTCTGCCCTCCCTCTGCCAGCTCTTCAGATTCTCTTACAGTTTCTGTTAGAACCTAAATAATACTCTCTTGGACCTACCAATATTGTCTGTTAACTTCATTTTTACATTTCCCTATATATCACTTTGGACAAATGACTTTTTCAATAATTTAGAATTAAACATGAAGTCTTATATGATATTCTCTGGTCTTAAAGTAAAAATCAATTTTATAAACATACCTGATCAGCATCAACCAATCAAGGTACAGTATTTTCGATCATCCATTTAGAAACATCGATTTCTAATCTCACAGAGGCCATTAATGATTATAAACGTGATCAAAAGCATTTCAGAGTCATTTCCATCTGGAACAGGAGAGCAGATAGACCATGACCTAGAGACAGAGCACCTTGCTGCTCCCTTTGGTGTTATTGCAGATCTTTCTTCACAAAAGCTCTGCTTCCCTTTCACCCTCCACCTTTCAGACATATTTTGGAATGGATGTCTCTGCAGTTGAAGATCCAGTTCAGAGGCGAGCTCTGGAAACCATGATCAAAACCTATGGCCAAACCCCTCGGCAGCTGTTCCAGTCAGCCCACGTGAGCAGGCCTGTGTCCAAGCTCAGCATCGAAGGGGAGCTTCCTGCGGCTGTGGGGCTCTTAGTGCAGTTTGCTTTCAGGGAAACCCGGGAGCCGGTCAAAGAAGTTACCTACCCGGTATGTCATTTGGATCGCAACAGAATTCAGCAAAAACTGATTCACCTCCCGAGAGGTCAGACCCTGACACAGCTTCTGGGGCCAGGGGAATAGCAGGATCCTGGCCTGAGGTGTGTGCCAGCAGTGAGCACATGGGCAGCTACCAGCGGTATTCTATGTGCAGCACATGCTGGGTTAGTGATAGGAAGAGAGTGCTCGGGGAGGTCAGGTCGCAGTGACCGCTGAGGGGGAGACTACGGGAAAGCCTCATAAGGCAGTGCCATGGGAAAGAATATGCAGAGAGGAGAGGCACCGTGCAGGATTAGAGGCATTTCACACATGAGCGCCAGTGCCCACATGTGGGCAGGGTCCTGGTGATCATCTCCCACCAAAGGTCCCAGCTAGAGGGGTGGAGGTTTGGTTCACAGTGAACAGGAACCTTACATATTCTTGGCTTTCCCAGGTTGTAATGATAAAAAATATTGCCTCTTAAAATAGGAAGTGGGTATCATTTCTGCTTTGAAGTAGAAAAATAAAGCAAGAAAAACCTTAAAAGTAAAATAAATTCTAATCCTCCAATAAAATCTTCATTATTAAAGCAGCATAAGATGGGAGACTGTGGATGGTAAAGTGCCACAGAGGTTTGCTGAAGGGAATCGCAGAAAATGGAAAGGAACGGACCTCAGGGTGAAACGAGCAGCATCTCTCAGACTGTGATCTGTGATCCGTTGGAAGAGAAAACGGTTTTCACAGACCTTGTTTTGGCAATTGTTTCCTAATATTACTGAAATACCCTAAATGTAGAACACAAATAGAGCACTAAATGTGATTCTTTATGTTCAAAGCTCACATATATCTGATTTGCTTGTTAAATGCAAACAAAACTTACACAACCAGTAAAATTGAAATTTAAACTATCAGTATGATAGACAGTGCTGTTTTCCTAAAACCAGATCCCCAATATTGTGTTTCACAGTTGAGAGCTGTATTTTATGTTTTGTGTTTACTTGTCAATTTAACTCAGAAGATTTTGAAGCCTCACAAATCATTTGTCTTTGTCATTGACAAGGTTATTCTTCTAAACTAGAATCTATCATTTTAACATGGCAAAATAATTTAATAGCACATCCCTGAAAAGTAACAAATGTTGTTTAATTTGTTAGTATACTTATTGCTGACTAACTGTGTTAAGTTGGTATATAAAGGCTCTCAGCAATATTTTCACTCGCAGTGGGAATGTGGTACCGACCTGCCACACTCCCATCACAGGACCTTCGCACTGACTGTCCCGTCCATGGGGAATGGCCTATCCCCAGATATGGCCCCAGTTTGCTCCCTCACTTAATTCAGGTCTCTGCTCAGACGTCACCTCCTCAGAGAGCCCCTGACCGCCACCTGTGATGTAGCAGCCCCGTCATCCTCAGCCCTATCCGTCTGTTTTTCTTTCCCCTCCTGACACATGTGTCCACCCGTCTCACTAGCAGGCAGCTCTGCAGGGCTGGGACTGTCCTCTCCGTCACACTGGCAACAGGAGCACATGTCCTGCATGCTGAGCCTGGGGGAAGTGAAAGCGTGTAAGCTAATTCTCTCCCATGGTGGGCTTATAACCAGGTTGCTCTCTCTTACTTTGTTTAGAATTCAAATTAGAAGTAATTCTATATTTACTCCTTTTTTTAAAAATCATACCTTTTTCTTCTTTGGTTTTAGAGCCCTTTGTCATGGATAAAAGGCTTGAAGTGGGGAGAGTACGTGGGCTCCCCCAGTGCCGCCGTACCTGTGGTCTGCTTCAGCCAGCCCCATGGAGAAAGACTGGCCTCCCTCCAGGCTCTGCCCACCAGAGCAATCTGTGGCTTATCCCGAAATTTCTGTCTTCTGATGACGTACAGCAAAGAACAAGGTGAAATGAAAGAAAATCATTCTGGCATCTTTCATGAGATTTGAGTGTTTCCAGATCATCTGTGCTGCTTTTTAAGTTTTCTGAGTCCTTGGTGAAAACTGCTCAAATTGGTGGTTATTTAGTGCACAGTAGGAATTAAAACACACCATGTGGAAAAAATGGGCATTAAATGCAGTGTCGTGGAAATGAAGGGGAGTTTGAAGGGGATGAGAAATGGCTGTGCACACAGGATGAAACATTATGGTTGATAATTTGGTGAAATGTTCACTTTGAGGCTCTCGAGTCCCAGGATCGACAGACTTACCTGTCCAGCAAGTCCAGTCCTCAGACCTCAGAAGATAGAGTCAAACAACCAGAACAAAGCCAGGAGTGACTGAGGCGCCGTTCTCTCCCTCAAGGAGGGAAAGCTTTGCGAGTGTCGGGCGGAGCCCCCTGTCATAGCTGGGCTCAGCAGCCCTGCAAAGCATGGGTTGTGAGTGGCACTGAGAGGGACACCAGAAGGTCCACATCTCTCTCAGCCAGACATGACTAAGTCGCGCAGAAGAGGGCGGGGAGGAGAGCGCAGAACCTCGTGAGCTGAAGGTCTTCCGGGCCGTGCCTGAGCTGACGGGCCCTCATCCCTTTTCAGGGCCATGTGGCTTCTACAGGGGTCGTTTCAGAGTTAAACAGCTTCTGGTTCAGATTTATTTTTAAAAATAAGTTGTTGCAGAACATGAACAGAGTAAGCTTGGTTATTATTGTCTTTTATAAAAATTTCTTAACACAAATGAAAAAAAATCCCATTAGTAGTAAAGAAATAAAATTGATATAAACCAGCCCATCTTGTGGATGTAGACAATTCACGCTGGATACCATATTCTGCTGTGTAATTGTCAGCCCTTAGCCTGACTTTGTGGGGCTGTGGAGTACCAGGGAGCAGTGATACCTGACACTTTCCCTTCCCCTCCCGAGGTGTGAGAAGCATGAACAGCACGGACATCCAGTGGTCGGCCATCCTGAGCTGGGGGTACGCCGACAACATTTTACGGTTGAAGAGTAAACAGAGCGAGCCTCCAATAAACTTTATACAAAGCTCACAACAGTATCAGGTAAACTGTTTTATGCAGTACTTTATAATAACAATTAAATATAATGCTTTAAATAGGAGTCAGACCGGTAGCAGCCAGGCTTTAAGATCCAGCAATCAGTCCAGTCAAGAAGCAGATGCTGCTGGACGTGTGCCTGGTCTGCAGGCTTCCAGACAGCCTGACTGCCACCGTTCTGCCTGTGTCCTCAATTTGTCTGCTACCCTGTGTCTCCTTGAGACAGTGTAATAATCGCTCTGTCAGCTAATGGCACCATGTTGGAACAAAATCAGCATTGCTTGCTTCTCGGTGTTCGCCTGCCTTCTGCCACTGTGTCATCTTCTATACCTGGTTTTCCCTAAGTGGACCAGGTACTTGGGCATCAGGATGCGGTGGAAAGAGAGCACTGGGTCTGACTAAAGCCCTGTGATCTGAATTAGTGTTGCGGCCCTGTTCTTCACTGTGTCACCTTTGGCAAGTGAATTCACCCTCCCAAACTTGAGTTTCTCTCCTCTTTAAAACTGGGATGTACTCCCACTACTGTCTCATAAAGCTGTTGTAAAAATGTTTCCAACATTTGTAAAAGTTACTTTGTAAACAAACTATATTATATGTATAAACACACATACACACAGTACTGCCCAGCTTCCTAAACTGTATGTGGAGCCTTCTTTCTTTGACTTGTCTTTCCATGGGAAGTTCTTTTGCCATGTTCAGACTTCCATTATCTACATAACACCTGTGCCTGTTTGTGTGCCCTAACAATTATTCCCATCCCCTGAGCACTGTGAAATGGAGTAAGCTGCTTTTGGGGAATTTTTGGCAGTGAAAGAAAGGGAAGCAATAACTTGTTTACTCTTAATACACCTGAAAAAATGTCATCATTGCCTTTAGTTATATGGCTTACCAGTCAGCTAACAAAAGTAAGAATAAAGGACAGTGAAAAATAAGCTTTTTAGAAATTTTAATAAGAATTTAAGCATTGGAAAATTATTTCTGCCATATAAAGTTTGGCACACAAACATCATTAAAAGTGAAGGAATATTCTCATAAGTCCTTTTAGCAAAACGGGATGGTCCAGATTCTTTTAGCAGAACACTGTAATAAATACTTCGGTCAGTGACTGGGTGAGAATACCGTGTTTTATTTCTGTCCTTAGAAACGTACCGTTCACTCATTAGTTCTTGGGAAAATTCGTCTAGAATATTATGTGAGGACTTATACACTGACCATCATCATCATCATCTTTAGAGATTAGAGTTCTACTGTCTCTTTGTCTTCATCTTCTGACTAATTTCATAATTGTGAAACATTCCTCTGTCAGTTTTTTTCTCTTTTCTATTATTGGTAGAAAATGAAAAATTCTGAATTTCCAATTGTATTCAGTGAAAGCTAAAAGCAGACCTCAGAAATGGTGTCCCCAGTCTCCTTTTATGCATTCTTGAAAGATGACAGCATTCTGTGGACAATGCAGTAAGAAACCAAAAGAAGACAATTTATTCTACATATTCCATTATCCTTCTGGGAGACCCGTCACGCTTCCATTTCCTTATTTGTTTGTTTTGTTTCAGCAAAGTTAGGAATAACTGATGAGTAAAGATGAAATCATTCCTAGATGATGAAATAGCAAAATGTTTCAAGATAGAGAAAAAATCAGATTATTAAAATCCTGTAATGTAACTTAGGTTTATAAAAGATTTGAGTAGACTCATACGGTAATTGCAAGACAGAATGAGTTTTATTCTCTATATAAAAAGTACGTTTTCTCTTTGTTGTTTGAAAGACCTCTAAGAAAGAAAAGTTATGAAGTATCAGTCCTTACAAAGAGAACTATTCAAGAAAGAAACTCAGAAAATAAAATTGGATCCAGTGGACTGTGATGATTTATAGTTCAGAAGAGCCATGGTCTATGAAAGCCATGTTTTAAGGTAGCAGACGCTTGACCACATTTGTAGGTCCTGGGGCAGAAGCCAGCAAAGGCAGTTTGGATCCTAAGCGAGGACAGGGGATCCAAGGAACACGCGGGGGTGGACAGGGGGACGGACTGCCTCTGCTGAAGCAGGAGAGGACCCGGGACAGTTTGAGGCACAGAGGAGGGAAGAGCATGCCGTCTGCGGCTGATGACTTCTGTCTTAATGAGTGTGAGGGTATTGCTGGCTGTGGGAGAGGGTGCGCAGGGGAGCAGAGCAGCTGGGGACAAGGCGCTGGGGGTCAGCTAGTGACCAGAGGAAGACATCTCACCTCAATTAGTGCCTCCATGGCTTATAACCCCAGAGAAATAATCCCAAGTTTTTGTCTCCACGTTTGTCTTTCCTTCTCCTGTTTAACAATCTTTAGAACTGTTAGAAGCAATACCTGTTTACGTACCGTTTCCCCACCCAAAACAGGAAAAAATAAAGGTAAAAATCAAGTAAATATGTGAAACATATGCATACACACATCACACACAGTCAGCCTTGGATCTAGTCGATGCTGGATCATCTTGTTTAAATTTCTGAGGAGCAAACAGCTGTGTGTGTGCGCGCATGTGTGCATGCATGTGTGCAGGTGTGTGCATGGATGCACGCATGCATGTGTACAGAAAGATGTGAAATCATAAATGATGCATAAACATTTTAATTTGGAAACAGCTTTTAGGCATCTGATTAAAGATATAGAATACTTTTTATGTCTTTGCACCATTCTAATCATTTCAAGTAAATGTTTACCTCAAATTTTGTGATTACTTTTAAAATAGTCATCGGAAAAGTAGAAAAATTTCTGATGCTTTTAAACATGATCATCTGTGGTTTGTCCTTTCCAAAGGTGACCAGTTGTGCATGGGTGCCTGACAGCTGCCAGCTGTTCACCGGGAGCCGGTGCGGAGTCATCACAGCCTATGCCAACAGGATGACAGGCAGCACGGTGGGTCCCGGCAGGTCCCGGCAGCACAGTGCGCCCAGCTGGCTCTGGGGAGTTTGAGCTGCTCGTGTCAGCAAGGGGAAAAGACTTTCATGAAGTATAATCATTTTATATAAGGTCAACTTAAAACTTTTGTACTTTAATTTTTATGCTTTAATCTTTTCTTCGCATAAGCTCTTAAAATGTGAAAGATCACAGATCTAATTCTTTAGTTTTAGACTTATTACTATCACAAAAATTGGGGGAATAATTTTGAAGGTCTTATTTTTTGGTGTCGCAAACAGTATTTTAAGTTATGATTGGTTTTGAATTTGGGCTTTTCCACATTCTGACGCTTGCGTGCCATTTTCCCGTGTCGGCCTGAATGTGTCGGCTGTGTCTCAGGACTCTGTAACACTTGAAGCTTTGGGCCTCTGTCAGTTAGCACTGCTCTCTCTCTGGGAAATTAAGTAACAGTCAAATCCATGTAGCCTGTCTTCATTTCTACCATTTACTGGAAGACATTTTTTTAGCCGTTCACTGAATCTCCAGGATTTAAGAGTTAAATTCTAGAACAGTCTGTTGAAGTAAAAAAGACACATCATGCAATGCTTCCTTTACTTCCCTTTTGCTCCTTTCCCAGTCAGCTGTCTGGTGCTGTCGACTGTATGTGCAAGTTTAGACAGATAACTCAGTTATTATGTTCTGATTTGGAACTTCCTCTGTGCGCCTTTTCTCCATGACAGTTTTCTCCGTGATGTTGTTATGTTTTACTAGGTAAAACCTGTATTCCCAGCATTGGGTGGCCCTAGGTTCCTCTTACTTTCCTGTCCAAGTCTATTCCCTTTCGAACCCTGGTTAAGGTTCTTTGCCGTAATCCTTGGAGTATAAATGGGACCATAATATTGTTTCTGTCTCATAGCCTAAGGAGCCATTAAAATGTTTTAAGCAGGAGTGATATGATCCAGTCAGTGTTTCAGGAAAACTACTGTCGAGCTGCACGGAGAACCCTTAGAAGGGGCATGAGATGAGGCAGGAACACCACTTACAGGCCCCTCAGCGACATGGGCAGGACACAGGCAGGACAGATTGTGGCAGGACAGAGAAGCGAGTGCTCCAGAAAAGACTCCATGCTGGTCTGAAGGGCGCAAAAGGGGACTGCCAGGTGTCAGGGAGCCTGAGAAGTTACACTTGAGCTGGAGTTTAAAGGATCATTTCACTAAGAGGAGAAAAGAGGAAAGAGTGCAGACAAAGGCAGCCAGCAACGAGGCAGCAAAGGTGTGGTCTGGGTGGCAGAGACGTCTGCGTGTCGTTTGGACATAACATGCGCAGTTGGCAGCCCAGACGGCAGGAGCAGCGGGCCGAGGAAGGTCTCTATGCTGTAAGGAGAGAGCGCCGAGGGAGCTGGGAGGGCAGGTGTCTTCACTGTCGATGTCTCCTTTTATCTCCTTTCTCCCAAAGGCCCGAGCCGGATGTTCATTTTATCACCTCTGCTGTTTACTGCTGCCGTCACCTCCCCCCTCTGAGCTCACCCTTGTTTCTTTTTCCCTCAAATGTGTTATGATCCCCGCTGGGGAGCAGTTGTTGGCTGCACTCAGATGACGTCGTGCCGTGCCAGGCACAGATCTGAAAACTAGCTTCATCTTTCGTTTGTTATTTCCTCCTGCTTTTCCCAGCACTTTGAACAGCCTTGTTCTTAGTGTTTCTTACTTCCATTCTTCCTGTAATTTAAAATTTCAGTTGTACACTAAACAGTATGTAGTTTAGGTTTAAAAAAGATTGTCAGTATAGGAGTAACTGTGCACAGCGCAGCTTTGACTAGAAGGTCTTGCTTGTTGTAATTTTAAGCAAGACATATGCTTATTTATTTATTTATTTATTTATTTGTTGGTTGGTTGATTTTTATTGATTTCAGAGAGAGGAAGAGAGTGGGAGCAAGAGGTAGAAACAGCACTAATGAGAGAGTCATTGATCAGCAGCCTCCTGCCCGCCCCCCACTGGGATCGAGCCCACAACCCAGGCATGTGCCCTGACTGAGAATCAAACTATGACCTCCTGGTTCATAGGTCATTGTTCAACCACTGAGCCACACTGGCCAGCTTCTTTTAGTTTTTAAGTTACTGTAGGCTTGTGAAGTCTCATCTTAGTTATATATTTGCCTGAAAGTAGGTTTTTCAGCTTCTTTATAAGGCTTTTCTTTTTCTCCTGAGTATCAATAGTATTAGGTAATCAAGTCATGAGATTAACAGTTACTAACTGAACCATGTCCAAAATGCATCTTAGCTGTGTGATTTTACCATTGTTGGACTTAACAGGACATTGTTGTGTTTTTGGAGATGTTATTGTTGCTTTTCCCCAGGGACCATCTCACCGTCCTGGGGTTCCTAATGCTGTGGTTGAGACCCTGGGCCTGTGAATTAGCAGGAGGCACCCCTGTTCACTAGCTCCTTTCTCCCCACCCCTGAAGGCCAGGGCTCCCAGAGTGCTTGGTTCCTGTTGTGTTGGCTTTAACACAGACAAGAGACAGGCTCCCCACATGCCATGCAGGATTTGACCAAAATAATTATCGTTTGACATTACCCAGGGGGATCTTATAAAATCCCTTCCTGAGCTTGTGGACCACATCTAACTTTGTAAGCTTCTGTTGACTCTCCCAAGACCGTCCTGTAAAATGCTTTCCAGGTAATGAACAAGTTGACTCATATCAGGAATTGTTATCTGTAAGTCATTCACATGTTAGAGAAGTGTGCCTTCCCGGGTGATAACTGATTTTAAAACAGTTGCTCTTGAGTCATTTTTTCACTGATTAAATAGTGTCACCACATCATCACGTAAGTGACCACCTATGTTTCTCTTGTCTAACCTGGTGGGAGAGAACGTGCATGCAGTGTATCCAAGGGAGCATTACATCACTCAGAGCAATTTTAAGAAGTAGCAGCCAGCACAAGATTCCTGTTCTACCCATAGAAATTCTTTCCTGATCCACCACGGAATCATCTAGTAACACTAACTCTTGCAGTCATTTTGAAGTACAAAATCTATGAAATTATCAACAACCACTATAGGGGCCCTATGTTGTATTCACCCCATAAATATTATTCATGGTCATGGAGTTTAAAAAGTGCACACACACATGTATATACATATGTGTGTATCTATACATATATATAAATAAATATAAAATTTAAAAAATGTTTTAAGTCTTAAAAAGCTGACCAGCGCCCAGCCGGGCGTGGCTCAGCGGTCGAGCATCGACCTAGGATCCAGGCGATCAGGGTTTGATTCCCAGTCAGGGCACATGCCCGGGTTGCGGGCTCGATCAATGACTCTCTCATCGTTGATGTTTCTATCTCTCTCTCTCCCTCTCCCTTCCTCTCTGAAATCAATAAAGATATATTCAAAAGGGATTCGCTCCATTTAAAAAAAAGAAGGAAAAAAAAGAGCTGACCAGATAGTAAGGAACTCCCAAGCCAGCAGAGTAAATACTCAGGTGGAAGCTTACACCTTGAGGACATTTGTTAGTCCTGGAAAATGACACTGTCCTTGGAAACACCACCAGAGACTGAGCTAGCTGGCGTGTCCCAGGGAGGCCCTTCTGCAAAGGCTGGTCCCTGAAGGGTGACTCCCTGACAGTGAGGACACACCTGAGTAAGGGGAGACCAGCTCTTGCTTGGAATTCAGCTGGGTTGGAATTCCCGGGGTCGTCCAGGAGGCTCAAGGTGGGACCTTGGGTATGGTGTCCCCAGATTGAGGTGGTTCAGGTCATCTGGCAGAAACAAGATACTCGCATTCTACTCCACAAATGGGAGACTTCCTACAAATAATTTTTAGTGTAGTAACAAATACACACAAGAAGGCACACAGATAAGAAAATGAATATATGAAAAAGTTTGGTTATAATAAGAAAAATAAAGCAACCTTGATTGTCATTTGTAACTTGGAAAATTTTCCAATATTTCCAATGAGAGGTGAGTTCAAAGTCAGGTGCTGCAGATCTGGAGCGGAGGAGGAAGGGCTCAGACCTTCGGGTCAGGGAACTGCTTGGCCCCGGGTACTCTGAGGCTCCCTCTGAAAGGGTTCTGAGCACATTCCTGTGGCCCTATGACCCTGGCCTTGCAGGGAGGATCACAGTCAGAGGAGAGCCAGAGGCGCTCAGACCCAGGACTCTTGTCCTCGTAAAAGCCCATCTGGTCGCCATGACTGTTGAGTTGAAGGTCATGTGCCCTCACTAAGCAGAAGCAGCTGTGGCACAGCTCAACCAGTTGTTCCAATGAAGAGAGTGAGCTGGCATTGCCTCATCATTTGATTCTTTAAGCGTAAATGTGTATTTTTATGTGACTAGCACGCTGGATAATGTAGGACTTTAAATAGATGAGCTGTGCCCTGGCCGGTTGGGCTCAGCCCTCAGACTGAAGGGTCTCGGGTTCCATTCCCGGTCAAGGGCATGTACCTGGGTTGCAGGCCCCAGTAAGGGGCACATGGGGGAGGCAGCCAATCAATGTGTCTTTCACATCAGTGTTTTCCTCTCTGTTCCCCCATCCTCCCTCCCTACCTCTCTCTCTCAAAATCAATGGAAAAAATATCCTCGGTGAGAATTAAAACAAAAATAAAAATAAAAAATAGTTGAGCTGCACTAATATATCAACACAGATGCGTTTCTGAAACAATGGTGAACAAAAAGGCAAGATGCAGGAGACCTAAAGAACAAAACCATATATAACACCCAAAGTTCATCAACATAGCAAAGAGTATAGTGTGTTGCTGTGGTTATAGTAACATGCAGTAAGTACAACACACGTTTTACATGAATGGGAAACACAAAATTCAGGGTGGTGGTAACTTCCCACGGGAGGAGGAAAGAGGAAGCAGAGCAGCACACACCAGGTAATGTCTGGTGTTTTATTTAAAAATGGACGGCCATATAAAATGTTACATTAGTTGAGCTGAGTGGTCAGTATGTAGCTTTTTATGATACTTAGTATTTCTACTTTTCTGTATTCTTTGAAGTGGAAATATTGAAATACTTTAGGACAGTAAACAGCTGCCTAGTGAAAACAAGAGCGAAACCCTGGCGTCACGGACATCTGGCGTCTGTGAGCCAGTGCGGATCTTGGAACATCAGTTGCAACCTTTGATTTAGGAACTCAGTCCCTCTATTGACAAGTGATGGCAGTATTAGTGACATCACCATTGGTGGCATCATGAATTGGTGCAGTGCTGTGAGGACCATAAAATTAGGATCCTGGAAGTTTATTCTAAAGAAATAATTCAGAGGAGAAGTAAAACTTTTATACATGAAGAATTTAATTATGGCATCTATAATTTTTCAAAATTAGAAACAGTTGTGAATGTCAATAAAGGGTATTCGTGTGAATTATGGTGTACTGACTGCATAGACTATTATCGCATGATTAAAATTGTTTTGAAGACAATCTCAAAATGGAAAATGCTTGTTGGAGAATGTGTGAAATACAAAATAGGAAATTCTTTGTATGGAAGTTGTTACAACTATAAAAACACGAGTATTTGGACAAAAACTGAACAAGGATAGACAAAAGTAAAAAAACATAGTAGTTGATGAAATTACAGTGATGACAGGTTTTTTTTAACTCNATCGCATGATTAAAATTGTTTTGAAGACAATCTCAAAATGGAAAATGCTTGTTGGAGAATGTGTGAAATACAAAATAGGAAATTCTTTGTATGGAAGTTGTTACAACTATAAAAACACGAGTATTTGGACAAAAACTGAACAAGGATAGACAAAAGTAAAAAAACATAGTAGTTGATGAAATTACAGTGATGAAAGGTTTTTTTTAACTCTGTCTTTATTGATTTCAGAGAGAGGAAGGAAGAGGGAGAGAGAGATAGAAACATCAATGATGAGAGGCATTGATTGGCTGCCTCCTGCACGCCCCCTGCTGGGGATCAAGCCCAAAACCTGGGCGTGTGCCCTGAGCGGGAATCAAACCTCAATCTTCTGGATCATAGGTCGATGCTCAACCGCTGAGCCACGCAGGCCGGGCAACAATTTTTTTTAATGTTTAGTTTTACTCTTTAGAAAAAGTTGAACCAAATTTGTTTGAAAACTGAAATGTTTGCAAATATTGAGTCACTTGGAATGTTTTTATTTTTGAGGTAAATTCTAGGATACCTTTTTCATTGCATTTATCTTACACTTTCCTTAATTTTGAACGCAGCCTTCAGAGATAGAGATGGAGTCTCAGGTACATCTCTATGGGCACACGGAGGAGGTTACCAGCTTGTTTGTCTGCAAACCATACAGTATCCTGATAAGTGTGAGCAGAGACGGGACCTGCATCATCTGGGACTTAAACAGGTACGGCGGGTCCCCAGCTCCACACAGCCAGTTCTCACCGTGTGAAACAGATGTACAAAACAGTAACTTGACATCATAACAATGTCAAGCCTAAAATACAAACTTTACCCTTATGACGTTACTGAAATCAAAAGATCAGGAGTACAGTTAGGAATGCCTTACTAATAACAGGTACATATACTGAGGAAAAGAATTATACAAATAAGAGAATATAATTATATTTAGTAATCATGTACAAATTCAGTTTTTGGTCTTTCAGGTTGTGCTACGTACAGACTCTGGCAGGACACAAAAGCCCTGTCACAGCCGTCTCTGCCAGTGAAACCACAGGTGACATTGCCACCGTGTGTGATTCAGGTGAGCTACCCCAAAACCAGAGCACGCACGCTGCTAACAGTGCATTCAGCCAGCTGGTTACATCATAGTTAAGCTGATGGGTACAATTCTCAGGCCCTTCCAAATCTGAGTACTTTGTTAATAGCATGTATGTGTATTAATACAATCAGGTCCAAAATTGAGTCATCAATTTAGGCATCAACTTATGCAAAGTTAGAATTGTCATAATTTAACTTATTTTCTGATATAGCTAAGATTGTATTTGAGCGCATGTAAGTTAAGCAAGTTACTGTTATATAATTATCTGAATTTTCTTGCATTTTGTTTTTCTGCCCTCTTTTAAACTTCTGCTTTTTAACTACTAACTGCTGCCTTCCTCTTGAAATGAAAAGCACCAGGTGGTTACCAGCTTTAAAATCTGCCTTCCAGTTCCCGAGAGAGAGCAGCCGGGGCTGAATTTCCCTTAACCCTACATGACAGAGATATGCCTCCTAACAGAAGTCTTGTTCGGGGTTTTGTTTTTTATGTTTACATATTAAAAACTGGATGCACCTCCTGGCACAAGAACATGTTCACCAGTCAGAAACTCTCTAACCCTGTTACTCAAGGGGTCCTCTGAGGTTTCTTTAGGTGGACATGGTTGATTAAATCATAGGCCATTGGGAACTGAGCTCAAGCTCCACGCCTTCTCCCTCCCAGCAGGTGGGTGTGTTCAGCAGGAAAGAGCAAGTGGAAAATTCATAAATTTTCTGTTTGCATATCTGTTCTTCAGGATCTTAAAACTGAAAGCATCCTTTGAAAACCATTTCTTTCTGTCCACTCAGAACAGAGTATCTTTGACATAGCTGTAGTGGGTGGTCCCCTGCCCTTCGTTTGCAGTTTTGTGTGTGTTTTTTTCTGACACCAAATGTGTGATGTCTTCCCAGACACCACACAGTTCTGTGACACCAACTGGGTGTCCAACAGTCAGTTCACTTCTGATATCAACTACTTGAATTTACTAGCAAATTGGGGAGTTTCCAAGACCCCACCAGGCTCAGTGATTGTGTAGGACTCAGGGAAATGAGTAAAACTCTGTACTTGCTACTACCATTTATTGTAAAGGATAGAAGTGAACAGCCAGGTGAAGAGATGCCTATAGAGAGGCAGACGGGTGTCCACGTGGAGTCAGAGGGCAGCACCTCCTGGCAGAGAAAGTATTCAGTCAGAAACTCTCCAACCCTGTTACTCGAGTTCCACTGAGGTTTCTTTAGGTGGACACTGTTGATTAAATCACGAGCCACTGGCAAATGAGCTCAACCTCCAGGCCCTCTCCCTCCCAGGAGGTGGGAAGTGCCTCTAATCACATGGTTGGTTTTTCTGGGGACCAGCCCCCGTCCTGAAGCTGTCCAGCACCCCCTCCCTGTAGCATAGAAAAGATGGTAAATTATAAGGGTTTTAGGCTCTTTGCTAGGGACCTGGGACAAAAAACAAATATATATATTTTTTATTATTATACCACAGACATCCCTTGGAGTTTTACTGTTTTTACAAAAATGTTCACTCACTCTTGCGTTCAAGAAAAGTAACGTCTTCAGTCCTGCTCAAAGATTTTAGCTGTGAAGTATTTTCCCATTATAGCCTCATCATCAGATAATATCAGAAAACAGGTTTACTTCCTGAGCAGCACAGCCAAGGGGAAGATGTTAAGCAGTGACATTGGTAACACGAGTGTGGGCAGGTGATTGATGACTCTGCTGATTGTCTTCCTTGATTTGTACAGTGGCAGCTGTCAGGCTCACAAGGAGGGGACTCTAGGGGGTAACGATTACTTATATAGAGGCCTCTACTTCCTTGCTTTGGCAGCGTTTGGAAGTTAGGAATGGCCATGAGGGAGCTAGATCTTGTGAAGTTAATTACTTTCCTGCTGCCCGTAGTGACTGATTTCTGTGCTGTTGTACTTGCTGGTCATACGGGAACAAGAGGCACAATTACTTTCCCACCATTACCAGCTTGTAGGTGTGCAGCTCTGCCCCACCCCACCCCCAGCAGCACCCAGCGTGGTAATGCTACAACGTTTCTTTCTGATATGAACAAAAAGGCCTTCTCAGGTTTTTACAGGTTTTGTGACACACGTATGCGAGAAGTCACAAACAGGACCAGAATTCACCCTCCTGGTCTGCAGTTCAGGAGGGTAGATTCAGTCTGCCAAAAGCCTGAGCCTTCAGAGTCCACTCAAGTGACTTTAAAACCATAATCATAAGTACATAGCATGTGTATATGTGTATGGCACGTATGTGTGTTGTGTGTGCTACATTGTGTATGGGTGTTGCTACATGTGTACACATCTACATGTACACACATTGTCTTCTCCCAACTCCTGTGTTGGGGCTGGAGTAACAGTGGCTCACTCCTCATGACCAGATTCCCCCGTGCTTATTATGGGATGTGGTTTTTATGGTGATAAGATGTGAAATTTGTTAAATTATGTAAATACTATACTAGATGGTTTCTGTATTTTTTAAATCATTACACACTAGATCAAAATATATGCCTTTTAACTGGGGCCCATAGCCTGGTCATGTGTTCGAGTGGCATTGTCAAGTTAATATATAGTCTAAGATTTGGGGTGAAGGTGGTTCTCCAATTTATTTTAATTTCATTGAAGGTGAAGGTGTGCAGTAAGAATAAAAGTTTTTTCCAGGAAAGCCAGCTTTCTAACCTTAGTTGATGTGCTGAATTACATATGGAAGTAATCTAGTATTGGGTAGGGCCTTGATATTTTTTATATTTGCAATCCAGGCAGATGAGTAGTGACTTGGTTTTGTGCCCATGTTGCTGGGAGATCTGCTAGGGTAATTCTTTTTTTTTTTTAAATATATCTTTATTGATTTCAGAGAGAGGAAAGGAGAGGGAGAGAGAGAGATAGAAACATCAATGATGAGAGAGTCATTGATCGAGCCCTCAACCCGGGCATGCACCCTGATCGGGAATCGAACCCTGATCGCCTGGATCCTAGGTCGACACTCAACCACTGAGCCACGCTCGGCTGGGCTAGGGTAATTCTTTACTTATTCAGTTCCTTCCTGTGCTCCGAGAGCCCAGGCCATGTCCACACTTTTACTGTGAAGGACTGATCCATGCAGTAGCTGTGGGTCACAGTGACAAACCCTGTATCACTTTTATGGACACGTATCCATGACTGCAGTAAGCCCTCTAACCTCACTAGTTTTTAAATCTTTTATCAGCTCAGCCGGGCGTGGCTCAGCGGTTGAGCATCAACATAAGATCCAGGAGATCGGGGTTCGATTCCCAGTCAGGGCACATGCCCGGGTTGCGGGCTGCAGCCGATCAATGACTGTCTCATCATTGATGTTTCTATCTCTCTTTCTCCCTCTCCCTTTCTCTCTCTGAAATCAATAAAGATACATTTTTAAAAAAATTAAAATCTTTTATCAGATATTAAGTTCAAAAGAAAGAGTGAAATGGAGTCTACTCATGGAAAAGATGAGTGTATTGTCTCCCACATCTTGATGCTTTATTTAGATAACGTCTCCTAATCAGTATTCTTCAATGGGAAGTCTGAACAGGACATCGGGCATTTTTAAATCTTGGTGTGTGTGCATGCATATGTGTGTATGTTAAAATACAGTTAACCTAAAAGTTGCCGTTTAAACATTTAAACGTATATGATTCAGTGGCATTATTACGTTCACAGTGTTGTGCGACCATTGCCACTGTCTATTTCAAAAATTTCATCTTCCCAACAGAAGCCCTGTGACTCCCCATTCCTCCCTTCCCCACAGCTCCCAACAATCTTTGTTCTACTTTCTGTCCCTATGAGTTTGCCTGTTCTAGATATTTTACAGCAGTGGAATCATACAATGTTTCCTTTGTGTCCGGTTTATGTTACTTAGTGTAATATCCTCAGGATTCATCCACATTGTAGCCTGTGTCAGAGCTTCATTACTTCTTGTGGTTGAATAACCTTCTGTTTTATGGATGCACACATTCGTTCATCCGTTGATGGACATTTGGGTTGTCTCCACCTTTTGGCTGTTGTGAATGATGCTGCCACACACCATGAATTTTGGTTTGTGATCTTCTAAGGTCTTTAGCATATCTTTAAGTAAAGAAGTACTAGTTTCTTTGCTATAAAATATGAAATCTTTTCATTGCCTTAATAAAGGAGAGACATCAATTCTCTACTTACGTGTTAGTTCTAATGGAGAAATAAAATTAGGTGTAGTAACACTGCGTCATCCATACTTCCTCATGCTTCTTAACCTCTCTGTCGGAACGAGAATATTTCTCCAGAGAAGGAAGGCACATCATCTTGAGGCCCAGCCCACCAGCTGTTCACAGAGAATGGCCGGCAATTTCTGCCTCCACCCCCTGGAAAACTATAAAAAGTTTGGTTAGTCAGCATTTTTGAAAAGAAAAAATAAGTTTAATAAGGCATTGATTTATAAGATTCAGTCTTAGCCACTGAAGAATTAGATTTCTTTTTTTAAGAATTCATCAACAAGAAAGAATATATGCACCCCTATATTCATAGCAGCGTTATTTACAATAGCTAAGATCTGGAAACAGCCCAAGTGCCCATCAGTAGATGAGTAGATAAAAAGCTGTAGTACATTTACACCATGGAATACTACGCAGCTGTAAAAAAGAAGGATCTCTTACCCTTTTCGACAGCGTGGAGGGACCTAGAGATTATTATGATAAGCCAAATAAGTCAGAGAAAGAAAAATACCATATGATCTCACTTATATGTGGAATCTAAGAAACAAAATAAGCTAATGAACAAAATAGATCCAGGGGACATGGAAGCATGGAACAGACTGACAAATCTCAGAGGGAAGGGTGGGGGGACAGGAAGAGATTAACCAAAGAACTTATATGTATATATGCATAGCCCAAGGACACAGACAATAGTGTGGTGAAGGCGTGGGGTGGGGCAGGAGCCAGGTGAAGGGGGGAAAATGGGGGACACGTGTAATACTCTCAACAATAAAAGTAGATTTTTTTTAAAAAAGAATTAGTTCTTAACTCAGGTAACTTATACAGTAACTTTTTTTTTCTTCAGAGGTCACACAAGTCACTTGTCATAGATGATTTCATAGAATATCTTCTCTCTTTGGAGATTGGTTAGCTGTCTGGGTACTTTCAGATTCAGATTTGGCAATTCATTTACTGAAATATTATGATCCATGATTAATTTGCTTGTTGCTCTCTATTTCAGATTAATTTTTATTTTTTCACTGGTCATTGTCTTTGGATAAACATGCAAAAGCTTCATGTGACTTACAGTGCAGTAGTTTCATTTGTTCAATTCTGCAGTCAGGAGTTGCCTGTAGACCCCATCACTAAAGCATGCTTGGCCCCAGGGGCACCCCCCAGGCCCCAGGGTGGTGGGCTGAGACACCACACACTGGTGACCTGCGCTGGTCTTGGTGTTTCAGCTGGCGGAGGCAGTGACCTCAGACTCTGGACCGTGAACGGGGACCTCGTGGGACACGTGCACTGCAGGGAGATCATTTGCTCCGTGGCTTTCTCCAACCAGCCTGAGGGTGTGTCCATCAACGTGATTGCTGGGGGACTCGAAAATGGAATCGTGAGGTGACGCATCCTGTTCCCTGCTCTCATTCACAAGGACACAGCTGTTTCAAAAATAAGTTTTTAATATCCAAGCATATTAATATTTAACAACTAGAAATTTAAAATCACCTTCATGTATAGGTCCTTCAGTTATTCCTGTTTTATTTCTAAATAGTAAAGACAGATTTAGTGCAGTTTTGAAATTTTATATTGCTTGTTAACTGTTACAGATTAACAATGTGAAAATATACCCAGTTAGGTTTTCTTACTCCATACCCATCCCTGCCCACTTCCCAGAAGTAACTGCTGTTCATTGTTTATTGTTTTCCTTCTAGATGATTTTTAACAAATAAACAAATAGGTAGGTTTTCTTAGAGAAGGAAATTTTACTTTGCATAATTAGATGGTGGTTTTTCCCCTCTAGGTTATGGAGCACGTGGGACCTAAAGCCTGTACGGGAAATTACGTTTCCTAAATCAAACAAGCCAATCGTGAGGTAACCCCACGCCCTCCCCCACTCTTCATAGTATACTCCGTGACTGTACTTTGTTAGATGGTAACATGCACACACGTAAGAAATACATGATGAGAGTCTTATAAACAGCCAACATTTGTCAAACCCCAGGTTGTCCAGGACCCAGTGGCCAAAGGAGACACAGTCCTGGTCTTCATGGAGCTGGGTATCTGAGTCAGGAACTGAGTCTGACAGAGTAGCACAAGGCGATGGTGCCAGGGAAGGCCTCTTGAGTGGTAGAAGGGGTATTTTTTCCTTCCTTATTGAAGATACCATAATGGTGATTGATGGCCACAGGGGCAGGCGGGCTTGGCAGGACTGATCCACACACAGCTCCCTCGCCTCTGACTTTAAAAACTCGATTGGACATGACTGATTTAAATTCTACTCTATTAAAATAAATTTATTTTCATTATACTAAATTTAAAGTTTAATGACCCTAAGTTAATAATTTGTTATATTTTTTACCCCTTTCTCTTTCAGGGAAATAAAATATCTCCATAAGTAATCATTTATTTGTATAAAGAGAAAATGCAGTACTGTTATGGTTTTTAAAGTTCCCTGTTCCCAAGTATCTGTCATTTGAGTAATAAAAGATAAACTAGAAGGCACAAGAAAATGTGAAAGGAACGGCCTGTACTCCTCTTTGGGCCCCGACACTGCTGCCACCTGGTTAGAAGGCGCTTCACAAACGGGCCAGCAGAGCCGCGACACTGTGAAGTGCAGTCGAAAGCTATGGGCTGTGGGCAGGCCCTGTGTTTGTCTTGGCTCCAGTAAGGAGAGTGTAGCTTCCTACAAAAAAGAAAAAAGATAGCGTAGCTTCTTTAAAAGCAGGAGGTAGTGTTAACTTCTTAAAAAAAGAAGGTAGTGTACCTCCTCTACGCTAATTCCTATAGGTCACCAACATGCTGATAAAGTTTTCAGAGAGATGCTATACAAACAGGATGTTTTCCTTTTCCCAGCCTCACGTTTTCCTGTGACGGCCACCATCTGTACACGGCGAACAGTGATGGGACTGTGATCGCCTGGTGCCGGAAGGATCAGCAGCGCCTGAAGCAGCCCATGTTCTGCTCCTTCCTGAGCAGCTATGCAGCCGGGTGAGAGAGCACTGTGCGTCCTGAGCAGCTGAACTCCAGCTGGATCTGTGGCTTCACCAGTGTTAGGAGGTTGAACCTGAAGAAACGGACGACCCAAGAGACCTTCCAAATAATTATGAAGTCTATTCATGTGACAGAACCCTGCAGCTCACAGTCCTGAGAGGAGGTTTAGTTTGAGCGAGAGAGAATCTGGAGGGTGGGAGCCTGCACTGACCAACAGCGCTGAGTCTGCACAGCAGGTTAAAGTCACTTTCTTCACAGTTTTCTACACAGTATTGTAAAGAAAAGATTACAGTCGCTCCTGCTATTATTCCAAAAGGGCAACAGAATTTAAATTGTTAGCAAATTGTTTATAAAATACTCTAAAAGTTATATTTATAAATTTTATGCCTAGATAACTCCGCAGCCCCAGCCCCAGAAAAAGGAAAGGAAAGGATACAGAATTCAGGATGTGATCATTGCTCCCTTTAAGAAGTAAACTGTTCAGCAGGTGCCTCTGCACCCAGCACTGTATGGAATATCTCAGTACTGGAAACAGACGACTAGCAAATCTCAGTATTAAAAGGCAGTTTCTGCCAGCTGCCTTCTTAGCTAAAAATAGAACCAGACTTTTCTGACAGCCACAAACAAGAACGGGGTCTTTGACGTCAGACACATTCTGTGTCTCTATAAAAATCCTGCTTAAAACCCATAACACTAGATATTGACTACCCTTAGTCACTAAGACTTAAACACAGTGATAATTCTCCAAACGTCTCCATGTAGAGCATTGAAAACTTACAGTCAGCAGGAGAAAGCTCCACTGTGCAGAAGGTTTGCGGACGTTAATACTCCCATCCGGACGAGACGTTTAGTCTGATGTGCACGGAGGGGTTTCTTCCCCAAAGAAAAGGTGGCAACTTACTTTGTTTTAAACATGAGGCTGAATAATTCCTGTAGGAGACAGTTTCCACTCTGGTTCTACTAACCTGCACCACCTGAGAATTCAAGGGACAAGGGAAACCTCTAACTGTACGCCACAGCACACTCCCTAAAACTCTTGGGTGGTCTCTCTAGTGGTGTCACGGCTGTCTGTCCACTGGGGGCTGCTGCAGCGGCTTTGAAGACACTAAAATAGCTAAGTAACGTGCTCCCGCAGGGTAAAAACGTGTTCCTGCCTAAGGATCGTCAGAGCGCTTGTTATGAAAATTTGATCATATGGTGTTTACAGAACTACTTTTGTAACTTCCAGACTTTCTAAAACATTCTGTTAAAAACTGTATAAAACACAATTCCCAAGTCTCTGCATCAGGATCAATACAAGAAGCAGCGAGTGGCTGTGCGCGATGTGACCTGAAGCCCGCATGGCGGGCGGCAGAGCATCTCGCAGCTGCCTTCCGACCGTTTCCCACAGACCCGCTGCAGTCGGAGGTCCACACAGGTGCAGGGATGACGCCATTCCTATTCACGTTGAAGTGATTTTCTTCGTCTTAAAAAAAATTGCAGCTATTGTCTAGCTTTCATTTTTCTACTGAGAACCTTAAATTAGTCCCATCAGAATAGGGTTGCTACTCAGCCTTTTTTTTTTAAGGCTGAATTTCATCATTTATCTAAAGAGGAAATATGCAAAATAACTGGTCTTGTTAAGAGTGCAATATTATATTTTTATGTAAAAATAAAGATGAATTTGGGGGGATTATTTATTCAGCATGAAACTTAATATGTACATGTTTGAAACACCTCATGATGTGCATGTTGTAGCAGACATTTCTGTAAATTACCACAAGCTCTTCTCTCTACACTGCCACTTCCAATTGGGAATAAATTTCATAGAAATGGATTTGAAGACTTAATTCTTGGTACAATCTAAACACTATGACCAGATCTTAAGTTGATGGCTTTTTTTTCATAACCCACATAGGTTCTCCGTTTAGCTCCTCTATAAATTTATGTCACCAGGAAAGGATTATTTTCATTTCTTAATTTTGGTCTTTTTGAGAAATTTTATATTGCAAACTTTACTACCCTTAAATGGACTTTAGTCAGCCCTGTGGTGAAACCACTCATTTAAAAAAAAGAACATCCCTGCACCCCCCAACAGGTCTGTACAAAGCCCCTACTGTGTGCTGAGGATACAGGTCTTCCCTGCGCTCCTGGAGGCTGTGGGCTGGTAGAGAAACCTGCTGTAACAACATACAATGTGTAGTTATAGAGCGTGGTAGGGGCGGTGAAAGTGAAAAGCGGGGTGTCTGGGACAGCAGAATGGGAAGAGCTAATTTAGATCAAGGGAACCCTGTTGTAAACTCCACAGTTAAAACAGCAGCTGCATTTGCCAAAACAAAATAGATATACTTGAATGTACACTGAGTTGGGAAGTGCCAATAATTTTATTGTGTTATATGCCCTGAACAGGAAAATATATCTTGACACTTTGGGGACACTGGGTTGCAACTCAGCTATTTGAGAGAAATTAAGTAATTCAGCGTGTCCTTTGAGTCCAAAGTGACTAGAGCATTTGAAACTGGGCTACAATATTCTTGCTCAAGTGCTGAGCTTATTTCTTATCTCATGAGCAAAGTTAATGAGATGAGTTTAGAAAAGACTGTTTTGTAGCAAAGTTTGGCTCATTTCCAGTGTGAATTAGCCTGGTCTTACCAAGCATAATAAATACCAAGGAAAGCACACAGAAAAAGAGACGCAATACATGCCAAGAAACAAGGTAATAATACCACAGATCTCTTATGAGCAACTATGCAAGCGTAATAGATTAACACCTTTAAACTGTTTCAAACTGTCAGCCTACAAAAAGATTCCTCAAAAATGAAGGCAAAATAAAGACTTATTCAGATAAACAAAAGCTGAGACAGCTCACCAGCAGATCTGTGTTACAAGACATGTTGAAAGATGTTCTGCAGGCAGGAGATGATATCAAATAGGAATACGGATCTGCATAAATGATCTGCATCAAAAATGGTAAATATGAAAGACTTGGTACTGGCAGAAAAACAGACACACAGACCAACAGAAAAGAAGTGAGGACCCAGAAATAAACCCACACATACATGGGCAACTAATTTAAGAAAAAAGGAGCCAAGAATATACAATGATGAAAGGAAAGTCTCCTTAATAAATGGGAAAACTGGAAAGCCATATGCAAAATAATAAAACTAGACCACCATCTGACACCAAACACAAAATTAACTCAAAATGGATCAAAGACTCACACGTAAGACCTGAAATACTAAAATACATAGAAGAAAACATAGGCACTAAGCTTCTGGACATTAGTCTTAGTGGTGTTTTTATGAATTTGACTCCAAAATCAAGGGAAACAACGAAAGTAAACAAATGGAACTACGTCAAACTAAAAAGCTGCACAGCAAAGGAAACCATCAGCAAAACACAACCAACCAAATGGGAGAAGATATTTGCAAATGATATTTACAATAAGAAGTTAATATCCAAATATATAAAGAACTCATAAAACTCAACAACACCACCACCACAATTTGCAGGATAGGCAGACGATCTAAATGGACATTTTTCCAAAACAGAGACATGCAGATGGCCAACAGGCATATGAAAAGATTGATGTTCAACATTACTGATTATTAGGGAAGTACAAATCGAAACCACAGTGAGTTACCACCTCACACCTGTTAGAGTTGCTGTTATCAAGGAGGCGGGAAATCGCAGTGTTGGCGAGGATGTGGAGAGGGGGAACCCCTCAGGCACTGTTGGTGGGATTGTAGATCAGTGCGGCCACTGTGGAAAACAGTATGAATGTTCCTAAAAAAATGAAGATAGAGATACTGTGTGATCCAGCAGTTCCTCTTCTGGGTGTTATCTGAAGAACATGACACTAATTTGAAAAGGTACGCACCCGTGTCCACTGCAGCACTACTGACAATGGCTGAGACATGGGAACAGCCTTAGTGTCCACAGACAGGTGACTGGGTCAAGATGTGGTATATATACTCAGTGGAGTATTACTCAGCCATAAAGACTAATATTGCCATTTATGATAAGTGGATGGATCTTGAGGGTGTTACACACAGTGAAGTACGTCAGAAAAGGCCAAAGGCCTACCGTACGACTTAACTCGCGTGGAATATAAACATAACGAATTAATAAATCAAAACAAACAAAACCCTGGATACAGGCAACAGAATGGTAGTTGCCGGAGTGGGAGGAGGGTGGAAGGAGGGAAAATTGGGTAAAAGAGCTGAAATATATGGTAATGGATAGAAATTAGACTTTTGGTGGTGAGCATGCAATAGCATATACAGATATCGAATTAGGTTGTACACCTGAAATTTGTATAATGTTACTAAGCAGTTACCTCAATAACATATTAAAAATTTAATATAAAAATAAAAGACCTTTTTAAAAATCATTTCAAATTTTCTTCAAAAGAAAATTGACAGCTTAGAGCAAAATACTGTAATGTGTTGTGGGGTTTATTATAAGTGTAGAAGAAAAATACAAAAATAACACTAAGGATGGAAGAAAGGAATAGAAGCTTACTGTTGTAAATATCTTACAGAAAATGAGAAGTGGTATCATGTTATTTGAAAGTAGACTGTGGTAGTTTAAAGATGCATATTATAAACCCTTGGACAGTGTGAAAGAGGGAGGGTACAAACCAGCACTTGAGACAGTATGGAACACAAAAGTATTCCCAGTTAGTTCAAAAGGAGGCAGGAAAAAAGGAACGAAGAATAGTAGGACAAATAGAAAACAAATAGCAAGTGCAGATTCAAACCCAACCACATCATAAGCATGGGATCCAAGATAGCAGTGGAGTAGGTGGAAGGTACACTCACCTCCTGCAAGGACCAAGCTGGAATTACAACTAAATTATAGAGCAGTCAACCTGAAAAACCAACTGAAGGCTCACTGAACAGAAGTCTTATAACCAAGGATTTACAGAAGAAGCTACATAGAGACTGGTAAGAAGGGCAGACATGCGAAAAGAGTTGGCCCTGCTCCCATGGGCAGTAGCTGAGATTCCAGAGGGATATCTCAGCTGCAGGTGATTCCTCTGAGAAGCTGAAATCTCAACCCCATGCCAGGCAACCAGCCCAGACACTAGAGGTGGGAAGAGGTGCCCACATAACATCTGCCTGTGAAATCAGCAGAGATTCTGTCTTCCAGAGGCTGGAATCTGCTAGAGACACAGGTGCCCTCTTAAAGGCCAATGCACAAAATCTCAGCTGCAGCCACTCACCCTGGGCTCTGGCAGAGAGAGGGAGGAGCAGACTAGAGTCACATGAGGAGAGTGTGGGGTTTGTGGCTCCGGGAAGAGAGCTGAAGGGACAGGTGCCAAGGTCCCTATGCTGAGTCATTCTTCCATACCACTGACACCATCTCTCTTGGGTAGAGTACTCCCCTCCGTATGGCATCAGCTTGGGGGAATGCAACAGCCCCGTCCTCCCGTACCCTGTCACCCACTCTGCAGAGCTCATGCCCTGCTTAGAAGTCAGCTGCCTGGGCCAGGGTGTACAGATCTGGGCAGACCCAGGGAGTGTCAGTGACTGAGTTGTGTGGCTTTGGGGTGGGAGCCATTATCCCACTTTCCCATGAGCCTAACAGGTGCCTCACTTTCCTGGAAGATCTGCTAGCATACTCTCTGGGGTCCTGGTGGGCCCACTCTGCCAACTCCTGGTGACTCTGCCATGCCAAGGGCTGGGCAGAATCCAGGACAGACTGAGTTGTGGGGTCTGAGTCCGGGGATACACCCCACCTTCCCTAAGGCTGACCAGTACCTCCCCCTCATGGGAGACCCACTTGCCACACTCTAAACTCCTGCCGACCCGGCCCTGCTAAGTTAGGGCTCTGGGCAGAATCAGACAGAGTTGTGTGGCTCTAGGACAGGGCCATTTTTTCCACACGCCCAAACAGTGCAGAGCTCTCCCTTCACACCGCCAAGTCTTGGTCTGTTTGGGCCTGATACACTCTGCTGGCCTTACCATGACGGCTCCCTGATCCCAACCCACCACAAAGGGGTGCAAGCACCCAGCAGGCGGCACCTAGACTTGGTGTACCCTGGGATATTAGCTGAGCAGCCTCAGACCAGCACCGGCACCTGGATTGAACATGTATCAATCTGGTGAACATTCACTCCTACCTGGTAACTCACTGAGAACCTATCTCATGCAACTTGAGTACTGCTAGAGGCTCTTTCAGTGACTGAGCCTAACAGGCAGCCAGCAGGTGGAGGTGGATCTCAGGGTCCCCAGACCCCGGTGCTAGTAAAAGCCAGACTTGGTGCATAGCTTGGTCCTTCCCATGCACACCCAGGCCCAACAGAGGCAGCCACAACCTGTGCATCACTTTACACCTCCAAACTAATTACCAGGCCAGTCACAGACAGTGTCTGACATAGGCCTCTACCAGAGACCATCTCGAGAGGGCCCAGAACCAACACACCCAGTAACCAACATTAGACAACATCAGAGCAAAATCCATTTTGCTTCAGGAGTGGCACATATAAAGGGAGATCTCAGCAGGCACCAGACCCCACTGAGGTAAATTCTGACCTGTGTGGTCAGCATCTGCATAGCAGCTCATACAATGTGATCAGGGTTGATCCTCACAGTCAAAAAGCCTGAGGGTCCACCCCACACATGAATGGGCCAATAGCAATTAACACTCAAGTACAGCAGTATGCCCACATAACCTACACAAGAAACATTCCTGGAGTACGCAGCTCAGAAGATCAAGGAGATTGCACCAGTGGATCCCACAAGAAGGCTACCCCACAAAGACCGGGAGGCACAGCAGTCTTCTCCAATACACAGAAACAAACACAAAGAAACAGCAAAATGGGGAAACAAA